TGGTCGTATAGTACGCTGCCTATTTACATCAACACTCATTGCAAGTTCCAAAAAAGTCCAAGGCTATGAGGAACGGGGCCGTAAGGGTGTCGTGTCCACAGTCATCGTTGTGGGCGTCAGTCGGCGTACAAGGCTCCGGTCTGGTCTTTGACGACGTCCGTTTGCGCTCTACACGGCAGTAGAAACTGACGTACCTTGACCGTACCAGGTGAATCCGCCTGGCTGCTGTCTCGTTCCTCTTTTGTTTTCGAGTCAAGTTTTCTGCCTCGAGTTTCGTGCTGCTGCTACGTCTTGAAAGAAACCTGCCAAAGATCTGTTTTCCCGCAAACTTTTGAGGAAAAGCGGTTCGAAAGCACTGACTCAGCCGCACAACTTACATGCTGACATTAGTTTTAGAAGATATCCTCGAGGAACTCTGTTTGGACATCTACCTGTAATGTCAATATCGTTGGGGACACACATCTTGCGAGCAACCTCGCCGAGGCGGTCCGCCCGCCACCTCTTTGGTTTTACTGTCAAGATCAACAGCCATAGGGTGGCCTTCCTTTGACTGAAGCAGGTTCAGTTTGCGGAACACACCAGCTGAAGTCTGAGCTATTGTTCCAGAGAGATCTCTTCAGGAGGATCTATCAACGAGTAGAGTGCTCGAGGACTATACTCGGCGGCATGAACGTACACACACACCCCTACAAGCTCCTTAGTAGTCGGCGGAAATTCAAACTTATATAAGAGATTACGGTCATTCCAGAAATGGGCTTCTTCTGTTTGGCACGGGCATCCGTGCTGGTTCCAGTTGACTCTCGCACGAGGTAGATAAGCCTCCGAAGGCCACTTCGGAAAGTATAATGGCGCTATCTATTAGGATTCTCCAGTATCATAACGATTATGCCTTTCGGTTCATTGGGTTCTTTGGGTAGATCTTCCGTAGCCTTTGGGTATTCCATTGTGATGGACCTCATATCGGAGACGGATGGGGGAATAAAGTGTATGCCCTTGAATGATATGTCAAATTTCGAGCACGGGGCGACGAAGGAATACTCTTGTCAGAGACCTTGAAGAATATGCTCAAGTACGCCAACCACACTTATGATAGCACTTTCACATCGTTGATTTCTAAAAGTTGGTTATGAGGCATTCTCCCGCAATTTATACTGATGTTGACCAATGAGCAATCATCTTCATTGAAATTGACCATTGTGCCGACACCCCTCCAAGAAGGTCGCCGGATAGATGATAAATCTCAGATTTGCGAGCGGGCACGAGGCTACCACACTATCTAGCGGATTACCCAACGTTCATAAGTTTTGGCCATGACCTAAGAACTAGAACGAGGCCCCCTCGGACGAAGCTTTTTTTCCACAGCTCAACATGCTTTTCGGGTCGAGAAGATGGCTTTAGCTCCTCAGGGTGCCCAAATCAACAGGCGACAGAGACTACCGTGACAGACATCAAAACAGCAACTGATCCGCAAAACATATCTCAATCAGGTCAAGAGAGGCCAGTAGAGGCTGAAGCTGGGACAGCTCTGGGAAGTCACTGGCAGCACACTTGCCGTACTTCTAATACGATCGCGGACCATGACGTGTTGCCGACATGTTGTGCGAAATGGATTCTGCTTCTCCAATACGGGAACTGGTGTCGTTGGGATTAGCATGTGTGCGTGGTACACCTCTTGTTTATGAGACAGGATCATCCAGCTTGAGCTGAATTTGGAACAACTATGTACGACCTCGAGTCCTTGCCTCTAGCTTCAAGCCACTTGGTCACGTCAGAGACTTGAAGTCAAGAACATTAAAGCTGGGCGAACTACGCAATGGGACAAATATAGAAACAAAAGCATAATTCTGTATTTCAGAGTGAGATTGGAGACAATGCGGTCAGGAACTCGCAGCATCGTGATTCTCCTTACTGACTGTGTTAGAAACGCACTTTGCAATGTGGGAGCCAGAGGGCGCGGAGAAGGCTGTGATGGCGTTCTTCATGCCTGTAGGGGAATCTATATTAATGAGGGAGACCCCCTTCTACCTCGTCTTCTCCTCAACTTCGAAGGTCGCCGAAGAGATCGGCCGCGCACATGGACTTCCGTTGCCACGGTCCCTGAATCGGCGAGATTTAGCTATAACCCAACTCTAGAGTATCGACAGGCACATCACGAATCTCCTGTGCACAGGCGCTCAATAGGCTCCTTGCCTCTCTGTTTGCCTCTACTATATTCTGGTAGTAATGCTACTTTCAGACAGGAAGGCAAGGGGGGGTAAGTTCTCTTCCTCAAAATCGCCGTGATCTTCATCGACGTGGCTGGTCGTTCGCCAGGTTAAGACCTCTGGAAATAACCAACTCACAATCGCTACCAACATGTGTCCGCTGACGCTCACATCTATCCTTCCCAGTTCACACAGATCGGTTGCGGTCTGAGGTTCTGGCTGACGTCCACATTACTAGCCTCCACGTCTCAAATTACTGTGTGTCGAGAGATCTCGGCCGATGATCAGTATCTAGGAAACCGACGGTCTCAAAGACGTCCGTGGCATTTCGTCTCCTTCCGGACTCAACTCTCTGCTGTCTCGAGGGGACTACACGTTTAAGCAGAGCTCCGGAAGGAGAGGCACGAAGGGACATAAAGTTCGGGCACGTTGAATATCTCCTATGTTGAAGCATCATCTTTTGGTCTCGCCTCAACCTGGAAGGCTTGTTCTTTCATCGTTATGACAGACCAGCAGGCAAAGAGCTCTACAGCGTCAGTGACTCGAATCGTCTCCCTCCCTCAAGATACTCTCCTTCTAAATTATCTATAAAGTATTCTGCAACTGTTCTATCCCTGCTATTCCCGCGTCCTCCTCTTGCTCTTGTTCCGCATGCGTATGGGCCTCTTATGGCCGTATCAATCTAAGTAAAATCTATGGAAGTTCCTGTGACTTGATCACCCCTCTTCGTATCGTCGAAACCTTTGATCGCACGGGTGACCTCGCAGCGAGCTCGGCCAGCCGTAAATTTCCGGCAGCCATCTATCAATCTTTGACAACAGACACGGCCTGGCTAGTTCCCAATCTCCTAGGTAGGATCAACGGAGCTCAATACCAACAGCCTTACGGCCGTCCGCGATATGTTGGGGATTCGAGAATCATCTGCCACGGAGCGCATGACAAACTCACTCTTCACATAGCCCCGGCCGGCAGTGTTCCTTATCACGGTAACCAGATGAAGCTCTAGCATGCTCCTTCTAGCCTCCTCTTCTCAGCTAGTTCAACATTTCAAGACAAGAACTCCATCTGATCGCTGCGCAAGTCATCGACGTGATTCCCAATGAGCTAAACGGTATTTCCATCCCGGAAAGGAAATACACAGAGGTAGGTGCAATAAACCAACGCCCGCGGCACTCGAGGATTCCCATGATCCCCCGCGCCTCGGCATAGCCATCCCAGGCTTTCCCAAGAGTAGCAGACAGCCCAAAGAAACGACGGGGAAAAGCAAGCCGCCCCGTCGACAATAAAAAAACTCTCACAAACAAGCTTACTCCAAGACATGGGACCGGCTAAACCGCCAAACCCTAACTAAACAGGTCGCCGTCCATTCCCAACAAGGTTCAAACGGGATGGGACTCCCGCGACTGGAGCTTCCAGCCAGCCCTCCAAAGGCATCAAGAAGCACAAGACGCCAAATGGCTCCTCAACCCCGGTAGTTGAGGGGGGAAAAACTTAACTACGAAAAATCCCGACTACAACAATCTAATTAACTCATCTCACCAAGCCGTGACAAGCCAAAAGCTTGTTCTGTCTCTAAACTACCACACACACAGAGTTCAGAAGTCCAGACCAGGCACAGCCACCCATTGGCGGGGATACATTCCAAGATAGAGTTACGTGCGTAAAAAAGGCGCAAGAGCCGAACGTCGCCCATATCCCGGCGGCCCGGGAACAAAGAACTTTTGCTTCTTCTCGCGCGTAAAAAAAAAAGCTATCATTTTTTTCGGGTTATTATAGAGTGCAACTTTAATTTTCGCTGCTTCAGCCGGAGGTACCTATCCTACTTGATCAGCCACCCCGCGACGGCAGCGACCATGGCCAACCCATGGACAGGGGAATTGAAACTAAAGAAGAAGGATATCCTTCAGCCCGTGACCACCTCTCCAGTAGTCTATTCGGTAGTCAGCAGTGCCCGAGTTTTTCTTCGTCTCAAACAACTAAGCTCCGTTTGGAGACCTATTTGGAAACTTTTTGAGCATAGCCGTAAGGCTAGTAAAAGTCTTTGTGTAACCACAGCCTTGAACCTACCGCAGTATCGGCGGCGCCAGAGCCCGGGGTGAGATTTCCCGCCGTCGGTGAACTGGCTAAAGTAATGAGCATTCACTAAACTCTACGGACGAGAGTGAGGATGAACGAGCACACGGCCGATGAGGCTTTCCCCGACACGGGCAAGCGCCGGTCCAATGCTCTCCTGCGACAAGCGTCAATGCGGCGGTGAGAAAAGGACATCGTGCAACGATCTTGCAGATCGGACAGCGGTGGTGGATCAGCCGACAGAAGCATGGCCGCCGTGGTCCTTCACCACCGAAACCACTTTTAGAGAAAATGTGCTGGGCTGGCATCTGATCCAAACGAGGATGGTGTGATATCATCGCTTCACTTCTGCCATCCAGAGCCGATCTCAGGCCTCGAGATCTCACCCGGCATCCTCATTGCTCGACTGTAACATGATAGGCTTCAACCAGTATCGGGTCTTGGACAAGAGCACCTATGACGCAATGGTTGTTCTTCGGCATTAAGGCAGAAGCTCCAGGCTGTGTTCGAGTCATGCCACAAAACGGATAGAGAACGGTCTCTCGGTTGGAAGTGGGTTGCCAGACGGTTCTCAACAAGTAGACGAATACTGCGTAAGGCCCATGACAGAAGTATCCGTGTGTCGTCACAACCAACCGCAGAAACGGCCTGTTTGTTGCGCTCGTAGAGCTTCCGCGGGACGCGACTAGGTATTGGGTTTGCTCGCCTGTCTTTCCGTACACTTCAGATCGAGCACTGTCTACAGATATGCATGGTTGTACGAGTTGATCGGGTAGGTAGTTCTGGCCGGGATTTGTCGGTGTTTGAATTCAAGAGCGTAATCTGGTAATGACGTGCAACCAGGTAGAACGGAGAGTTAGTCGCCGGTGGGGTCACTGGGGTGAAGATGCACCTGCGAAAGTTATTTCCGGAAGACCCCTGACTGTCGGTGCCAGGGAGCCAGGGAGCCTAGGACTGTTGGTAATGAAACGTGGGGACTTCTGAGTAGAGCAGCAAAATCTTCGACACATCTGTGAGTGTCTACTGAGTACTGCGTATGTAGGTATTCAGCTTCCACCCGGTTGACCTAGTTTTAAGTTGTGCCACCGGGCGGGTTGAGCATTGACCAGTGGGAACGATCCCCCACCCCGAGCGGATTTGGTGATCTTGTCTGGGGATAGGCCCGCCAACGAGAAAGTGGACAAGACTATGCAAGAATGGAGACGGTGATCTGCGTTTCGAAGGTGATTGTAGGTAAGGCCATGAACAGAAGCGCCTCCAAACGGTTGAGACTTTGCACCATGTCCTAGTAATGAGTCGTGACTGGAACTCTCGGGCGTTCCAGAACCCTTGCTTCTCGACCATTTTTGCTCCTTAGGAGTCAGGCTAGGTTGCCTGCGTGATGGCATTTTCTTTGCTTGTAAGTGAGTGTACATGCTGGGCTGAATAGAATTAAGATATCGAGTCAAGTCGTATGGCGCGTAGCAACTGGTGTGCTTAATGATCCACAGAGATGCGATATGTCCAAGGTTCTCTTAGTCCCAGAAAACTGGGTTGACGTGCTTTGACAGTTTCGTTAATTGTGTCCACGCAAATGTCTGAAGCTGTCCATTGGCTGGTGCCTTGACCCCAAACGTGTTCTATTAGGCTGAGGAGTCCGGAGCATCAGCCTTCTTGGTCCTCAGCTGGGGTACATCATGGACTGAAAGCCCTACAAAAGTTCAGGTATACGTGAGCAGTAACTTGGGACGAACAAGGCCATCCCGGGAGCGCTTCGGGGCGGTAGGCTTTCGTGGTCTTAGGCCTCGTGGGTATCAGTCTGTGAGGGGCCGGTGTAGTAGGATCGCTCGATGTATCTGATGTCCGGTCTCTTCTTGTCTGGGGTGAGAGTTCATTACGTCTTTTGCGAGCTGTAGCCTTCGTAGTCTTAGAAAGAGTGATAACGTCCAAAGAAAGCCTGTTTGACCGAGCCGGGTATGTAAATGTTTGCTGGCGGAGCACTGTGCAGCAATCGGGCCCGTCTCATCTAAACAATGGCGTGTTTCTCGCATCTGGAGCGGCCAGTGTGGCGTCGAGAGCGTCCGTGGCCACCTGGCAAGGGAAGCTACATGATTATCGAACTGCACCCTTCATTGAGGTATTGGTCTGACTGATCAGTCTCAATATCAGGCGGGATGCCAGGCGTAGTTTTACGACCTGCGTCTTGCAGTCTTGCAGATGGCTAGCACACGCGCTCGCAGCCCACAATTCGGCAAAGTTGTCTCAGATGTGTGAGGACACGGAGAAAGACCGAATTCGTCGTATGGCGATCCGTTATTGTACAATATAAAGCGCGTCGCTCGGGAGGGCAGAGACAGCTGGCACATGGACGGGTACCGGCTGTAGAGGGTGCAAGACAAGTGGTTGTTCTAGCGATTCTCGAAGACAGCTGTGCATCGTTGTGACATGAATAGCGGTCGAGCTAAGGCAAGCTGGTCTCAGAGTCCATGCGACCGTGCGGTATTGCGCCCGGCTGGCCGCTTGGTCTCACATTCATCAGACGATGCTGGGATTCCCGGCGGAAGGTTGAGACTGTAGGTACGACACGGGCGAGTCGCAAGTGAGCGAAGCATACTTGTTGCGCCGTGTTCGTGTGCGTGTATCGGTATTTGTAGCCAATGGAGGGAGAGTACTTGAAGATTCGGGCGGATTGTCTCGACTCCAGGCCGACCGAGAGGCAGATGATGTTTGACGCGAATATCCGTACTTTTGTCTTGTACGGATTGGTGATGGTTGTGTGCAAGTCCAGGCAGGTTGACTTGTGTAAGAGGAGAGAGCCTCACCCTTGATGACAGAGTACCCTGCGGATAGACGTAAGGTAAGGTATTGTGCACAGTGTGTCGAGATGATGAGTCGTGAAGGTACCTTGATCCACGCAGTCTTCCTTTCGCTGATTTGCTGCATCGTCTCCGTTCCGTCTGTTTTGGGTCTTCCATGGTACGTACCTGTCTGGACTGAGGTGGAGCGACAAGTCGAGTGGGTCTCTGGGAGCATGGGTACCTGTGCACGGTGCAGGCGCTAGGAAGATGACAGATAAACCAGTCAAGAAGCTCCAATGCGACCCACCTGATTAAAGTGGATCCCTGTCGCTCTCCCTTGAATGGCTGGCAAGACCGCAAAGCGCAGTATGGGCAGGCGCGACGAGTGCCTCTTAAACACGACGACCGTTTGAAGCTACCTTACCTTCGCACTTTGGTGAAGCCATTGACAGTCCGGCCAGATTCTTCGCATCACCTGCTGTGCTACTCCTGCTGTGCCCACCTATCATAGGCGAGCTACGTGGGAGCACCAAGTCATGAATGAAGCGTAAGTGTCCATGACTGATTCGGGTGGTCCATAGTAGCTACGTTACACCTAATGACTGTACGGAGTAGTGTACTGAAGTGATCCGTACAAGCTCACGACGCTGTGTTCGTAGATATCCCGGTATCCCGTGCGCTGCGAGACAGGAGGGACGTTGGCCCGCGCAATGGTTCGAGTCCCCACATACCCGAAAATGAGGACGCGACACTGCAACTGCGACTTCACGTCAAGGTGGTTGAAAGTTGTCCTTGGATCCCGACTCCCCACTGTTTAACTCTATCGTTTTGCATTACTAGAGGATTACCGCAGTATATATAGACGCTACCCTACCCTCGAATTCCGCACTATTTAACCTTAACCCTTTTTATAAGTTACTTATTCTTTCCTCTATTCTACCCTCTCCCTCATTAAAAGATTACTAAAATCGCAGTTTTAATAGCTTATTAATAAGCTAATATTATTATCTAAAAATAAGTAACTTATTTTTATATATAAGTACTAGGAGTTTTATTATTATAAAAATAGTAATAAATATACCGGAGTATTTAAAAAAGCTTTTTAATAAACTTTTAATACTATTTAAAGTAATTATCTTCGAGCTATAAAAAGAAACTAAAGTACTATATTAATACGGCCCTATTTATCTTATTAATATTAATAATACCCTTTTTAATATAAGATATATTAATAATATTTTATAATTACGTTATTATACTTCGTAAATCGTACTTAATATTAGCGAGGCTTTTAGTATTATTTACTAAGTCTTTTATTAAAGTTATTATTATAAAATTAGTTTAGTTATTAATATTTTAATAAGTATTTTAACTTAATTTAAAGGCTTTTATAGCTCTTAAAAAGAGGCTTTTAAAGGACTTATAATTAAACTTTTTACTTATTATAAGTAAAGCTATTATAATTAAAGTTATAGCGTTACGAACCTCGATAATAAGTAGTTAATAATATAATTATCTTTCTCTTATAATAAGCTTAAAAAAGTATCTTAATTTAAGTACTAAGTAAGTACTATACTATTTTATTAAAACTATATTCTTATACTTATAACTTAGAAAGAATTAACTTTCTTCGATAACAAGGTACTTAGGATCCCGACTCCCGACCGGCGACAAGCCTTTGTGGGTGGAAAGGGGACAGGGACCTGGATGGGAGTGGAAACTTCCATTGAAAGAGAAGTGGCCAGTGCGGTCGAGTGGGCTCGCTTAGCACTGGACCAGGGATCTGGGCCACAAGGCTCCCTGTCTTGCCTTCTTGATCGGGGCTAGATCCGAGTACGTACTTGTTGCTTTCCGTTAGGGGCGGCAACCAGGATGGACAGGCCTTTCCCCTCCTCTCTTGCCTGCACATGGTACGGAGTACTGCGTAGTTACCGGTATCACGATCTCACATTATACCTACCGTCTTGTTGAAGACAAAAAGTCTATGATATACGTACAATAGTTGCCTCTGTCTTTGCGTTGCATGAGATGGAAGCAGACACGGCGGGACGGGTTCTTCCCAAACCCCGGAGGGGACGATCCTCAAGGTCTTAGGTCTTTAGTCATCAAGGGACAGACAGGCAAATCGGCGCTCGTTCCTTCCTTGGCCCGTCATCCAATCTCCTCCAAAGGGCACCAAAGCTGCCCTCGTGCGTTTTGACTCAGCCGTCAGACCCAGATCACTGGGTGTCGTCCGTCGGTACTGCACCGTTTTCCCACGGTTTTGGGCCTTTGGCGCGCCTCCGACCCAGCATCTGCACGCTTTTCAATCCTTCCAGGCCCCCCCCCCCCCTCTCATTTTCTTTTTTCAAACCGCGTCCACGTTACCGGGTGCTTTGTACGAATACTTACTACGCGCACTCAATTATATATCCGTTCGAAACCCTCCGACTCGCAAAGTGCAAGCCATACTCCGTACCGTCACTGGAAATCTTCGCAAACGGCTGACAATCTTAAGGCTCAAATGGAAAATAGATTGACTTCCCGAGTCCCGTTTCTTCCTCTCGGCCCTAGAACCATCACCAGGAAACCTCCGGTTTCAACTCCCGCATTACTCTGACCCACCCGGCCCGGATCTCACCGGTTGCTTGACTTTCCATTGCCTGTGTATGCGTACGAAGTACTCCATAGCGTACGCAGTATCCCTAGTACCCCTTCCGACCAGCAAGCAAGGACAGGCTTGGAACACACATACCACAGCACACCTCACACAACGAACCAGGCAACGGTCGCCGATCAAGTCTCTACTTGTCATCCTCGCTGACCCTCCCGGACGCTGGCTGTCCCTGCAGAAAAGAGACAGGGCCCATAGAGAGCCCCCAAACCAAGAATTAAGATCCCCATCTAGCTCCCTCGACCCCTAGAATTTCTTCGGTCGAATCCCTTCAACAAGTCTAGCTCTTGTCGGCCTTCACCAGAGCTGACGCGCTTTCCATTGCCTCGCCTCACTTTCAGGCCATTGGCATTCCTAGGTATTTCGTCGCTCCTAACATTCAGAACAACATCTTTCGGCTTGCCCATCTTGACCCTTCTCCGCCTCCGCCCCTTTCTTACCCAACTGGAGCTATCCGTACGGATAGGTACCCGAACGCACCTTCGCCTCATACTCAACATCACCTCACTCTCAACATCGAAATTTCAGTTCAGCTCAACAACCACCAAGCAAACCCTCCCGAAACGCTGTAGCTACGCTCACTCGTCCCCCCTTATCCTCTTCTCCGGCTGTCACACGGCACGAAGAGGAGCATCAGTCCCAGGGTGGTGCCGCCAGCCAACCTCTAGCTTCGCCTTTGTGCAACCATTCTCCTTGTCCCTCCACTGTCTCCAGAGAAACTTGGCCGCGCTAGCTCGCTAGTAGTGCCGGCCATACGGTACGGATACTGCTAGGCCAGATACTGGCTACCGGTGCTGGTTCTGGTACAGGGACGGGTTCCATACATACCGCATCTTTTGCAACCCAAGGAAAGGACCATATGTGTATTGCGCCCGCCCACGCGCCGTACGCCTCGTCCTGCAACTCTCTTCGACTCCGTTTACATCCAAATTCATCGTCCCCTTCGAGCCCAGTCACCACAGCTACACTACTTTAGCTAGCATCCTCTGTGACGCTACGCCAAAACAACTAGTCTCCTCCGTCTTCCTCGTCCTCCTGCCCTCTAGCCATCCCTCAGTTGGAAACCGTCTCTCCTAATCTAGATCAACTTCTCTTCTCCCATTCCACGTCCCCTACCGCTCATTCATCCTCACTCGTCCTCCTGTCTCTACCAGCAGAGAGACGCACTCTGCTTTCTATCCTGGCATATTCTGCTCGTTACGAACATCTCTAAACAACCAAAATCGGATATACGACACACATACCCAAACACATGGCAGCATTCCCTCTTGGTCAACGTCCCAGCCACGCTCAATTTTCCTGCACGCTCTCAGAGTTGGACCAACGTCATTCTTGCTGCTAGCACTCACTACCAAGTATCGGGAGTAATCACTCCAGGGCCTTTTGTGGCCGCCACGGCGCCTCTTCGCCCAGTCCCTAGCGCCGTTGCGGATGCCTTCATAATAGCAGCCCGCCCTCCCCAGAGCAAGCTTCGGCCCTTGCTGTGCTCTCGTCAACACATACCTAGGGCAAACCCATCTGTCGCCAGCCTCCGCTCAAACGTGAGGAAGGATGTTTGACCACTTTGCATTAGGAACCCAGATCCGCTCAGGTGCGAACGGTTCTAGCGAGGAGCCATCTCTCTCTCCTAAACAACGCTCACGAGAATTACCGAACCCGACTAAAGGACTCTTGTCCCCCCCGGCATCATCTCCGGCTCTTCTTGATACACTACCACTTCCACCACAACCCGTGGACAACCTTGCCCGCGAGCTCAGCAAACAGACTCTGATTCCAGAATTTCGACAACGAAATCCGCTGGTGACGTCGGCGATAGACTCCTCGTCACTGGTCACCGATTTATCGATGGCCGATCTAGAGGTGGACGACGATTGCGATATGAACTTTGCTACAGACGATATCAAGGAGCACCAGCCAGTGGCCGATTGGAAGCGAGCTCGGCGTCAGCGTTACAGCCGCTTTGTCAACAATCCAACCAATGCCCGCGCCATAGAGGCACGTATCAAGGACATGGTCTCGGGAGAGTTGCAGTGCAACGTTCGTCCATCTGCAGCAATGTCTTCTTTGCCAGCAGCTGTTCCTGTATATCCTCATCTTCCCAACATTGATGCCGACGGCTATCCCGAGATCGATCCAGCCTTGACACAACCCGAAGTGGACGAGGGCTTTTGCGATCAAGACGAGGAATATGCTCTCATGCAGAAAGCATTAGCTGCCGACAGAGAAAGGCTGTTAGGAAAGTCGGGGGGCATGCGGAATTACGGATCTTTACGATTCAGAGGATCGGCAGAGACGGCGCTCCGTTGCCAGAACGTTGTCAGACAACGACCAAGGATGCGACGAAGAAAAGGACCGGGACCAACCATCGATCCTCGACCAAGCTGAATCGTCCTGGCAATTGCACAGTCCACTTTGCATCTGTCGAGCCTCTCTTATTATTTCGGTTTCATTGTACGAGCGTCTAAAGAACATTTCAGCGATATACCCATGGGAAAAGGACTTGGTTTTGGCTAGGGCAACGGCGTTTACTTGGATGGATTTGAACTGCGACATAACCATGCCCTGGAAGTTCAATTGGGAACCACTGCCTCTGGAGGTCCAGAGTGAGACGGCGTTTTGATCGTGTCAGGCAAGACACGCAGACTTTTGCCTTTATTTTTCTTCCATCATGCGGTGAGCCACTCGATGGTCGGATGCCCGCTTCTTCGGCATTGATGTTCGGGATCGGAGGCATTTTTCGGCTTTCAACCACCTTGACGGCCCGAGGTCATCACCGAGTCATCAGTTGCGCAAGCTCCGGTTCTTTGGCTGGGTGTTTGTCTGCCCATAGCCTTCGAAGGTGCAGACGTGGCGTCAATACTTGCAGCCTTTGTCAGGCAGGGTTTTGCCTCTATGCATCACTCTCTAGGTCGCTGATGAGAGGAGACTATTGAAGAAGTCTAGACAACTTTCGAATTCAACAAAAGAGACCTCCTACTTTGGGATGTGTCGCATTCTTATCTACTGACGTTTTCACTTTGAATCGCAGTGATGACTAAGATTGTGATGATACAGGACAGCGATGTTTTCAGTGTTACCGTTCTTGCGGGTGGTTGGGAAACGTGTGCAATAGACAACGGCTGCCCAGCGAGCAAGCTGTCCCGATAGGTTGGGAAGCTATTGTGGTCAAAGTAGGATTTCAAGGGAGTCTCCATTCATGCATGCGGCACAATGCACCGCGATCTTCGTTTAGAACCGGTGACGTCCACCGTCACTGCCCCCCTCTTGATTTCATCACACCTTTTTCTACCCCTCTTCAGATAAGTATCATGAAGGGCCAGCCGTATGAACATTCCAGCTGTCTCCCGGCTAACACGCTCTCCACCTGCGCAAGTGCGTATGGCATGATCCGAAAGCTGGAGGGGTTGTAAGCGAAGGAACTCGCAGCTAATGAGGGTGAGATACCCCAATTAGACTTTCAGGTGGTCAGGTCAGCGTCGACGAGGAGACGTGCAGTAGTTCCATCTGGGGCAGCTGATCACCAATGACTGATGTCTTCCCCTTGATAGCTATGGGTAGCCTAGTTCACGAAGAGCTGGGACAGCTTAGCCGCGGACTGTGAAAGCTACTCGGAGTTGGAGCATGAGCCTGGATCGGTGGCCGGTCCGGCCGTCGAAGGCGTGATTCCTTGCAGTTTGGCACCGCCATCGCTCTTAGCCGACAACGCCCCTACTTTGCTTCTTGAAATATCTCCGTTCCATTGTTTGTCATCACTTCATCATCATCCTGGCATACCATGATCTATTTCCAAAAAGTGCCACAAGGTACAACGTCCCAGTGGAGGGTATAAAATCAAGATAAGCAAGACGAAGTCCAAATCTCGATGTAATCTTTTGCCTAGGAGGAGGACGTATGACCGGGGGTCCACGATGATAATTTTGCTTCGCCAGTGGCGTTTTTGAAGCAGACGAGCAGACGGCGTCCTGTGTCAAGCCGCCAAGGCCATGCAAAATATCAATCAAGGTTACAGTCAGCTTAGTATTCTGAAGTTTTGAAGCAAGCAGAATAATTTCCGAAGGATCAAACATGTGCCTGCAGTCTAGGGAATTGCAATATGTCTTTGTCTCCGATACCAGCCCTGGCACCGAGGGCGAGCAGATGGATTGTTTCTCCTCGAGGGTGGTTTCTCTTCTTGTTAAACGACGTTGCCTTGAAAGAAAACGATGATCGAGTTTCCTTTGATGTTGCTGTCTCTTTGCCCTACCAACCCCAGTTCTTGCAGGTACAAAGTGGGAGGTGCCTGTCTTGACTGGAATGCGGATATGCTGCTGGGTCACTAGACGACGTGGGTTGCATTCCTTTGGCCATTCAGGAACAGATGGCATCCCTCGCTGAAAGCACGGTGATCTCTGCGGTCCCCCAATTCCAATGGTGCTCGTCTCCGTGCTGCATCCATATCTCTTGCAATAGTTGCTGTGGCAGGATCAGAGACATGAGCTGGACGGTATTTGTTGACTCTCGTTCCTTCCACCCTATGTGGGTTTGCAACCATCGACGGTTTTCATTTCCGTACAAGAGTCCCATTCTTCGATGGTTATACCCCAGTTTCTCTATCATCTTTCTCTCACTCTTTTCTACACTCTTTTTTTTTTCCACTTTCCGCAAACGAACATTGCAACATTCTCTATCTTGCCCTCTCCTTTGCTACGGGTCTTTCACCCACCATCCACCGTTTTGCATCATAATCTACGCAACAGATCTGATCCTCACTGCTGTCTCCAGTCCCCCGCTTCTGTTCCTGATCCTTGCCTTGGCTCTGGATCGTTTGCGGAACTGATTTCTAGTACAGAGACAGAGGCAGAGACACCCGCACAAGAGAGCATGACAGTGGCCGTCTCGCATTGGACGAGGAGCCCCGGCACGAGCGTCAGTCTCAGCTCGCACCCGACAGACTACAACGACATGGCCTACTCGGAAGTCCAGTTCTCAGTAGATTCAATGGACGAGGACAAAGACGGTAGCGGGGGCCAGTCTCACCTGCCCTGGGGAGAAGAGACAGAGGGAGCCGGCGGGGGAGGATCGGGCTCGGGTGCGGTCCACAGCGACAGCCTCCTCTTCGAGGACTTCGTCGACCTGGAGAGGCTTTCTTCGACGACCACCGGGGGTGACGAGCTCCCTCCCTCTGCTGCCGTGCCCGACTCGTTCTTCTACAACATGCCACTCCCCTCTCATGGGTCCGCGTCGACGACAAGCGTATCGGACGATCTGGACGACATACTAAGTTGCCACACACATCCGCTCATGGAAACTAGGACTAGCGCCGCAGCAGGTCCCGCTGCCACATTAGTGCCATCATCAGCAGCCGCTAGAGGAGGGGCGGCGACTTCAGACGCGGTGGTACCGTCTGCTGTGGGCGTTCCGGGTATCCAGTCTTCATGGACGATCGACCGTGAAGAAGAACAAAGGAAGGCTTCGACCTATCCGGACACAGCTCACGCTGGCGGGGCCGAGTCGATCTCTGACTCTGAGCTCCTGCGCCTGGAAGGCATATCGTTGAAAGCGTCGCCATCTCGCGCTCCATCTGTCGTCGTTTCCCATCCTCCCACTCCTCTTCTTCAAGCTTCGTCCGCTACCAGCAGCAACAGCAACCTCCACCTTGCCGGCAGCAGCAATCAGAACAATACTAGCAGCAACAGTCACACCAACGGTGGTCGTAAGCCGAGCAACTTCTTCAAGGTTGTCGCATCGAAACTGCAGCAGAAAGCTGCCTCTGTCCGCCATAAACAACCCACCATGTCTACCGTCGCCATCGACAGCAGGGGTACCCTCTCCCCCAACGCCTCGCCTCGCAAGTTCAAGCTCCGTCCCGAGCATCTCCAGAACCTCGGTGGCCCTCACCCCGCAAGACTTCCCCTGTCCCCTCCCAACAGTGCCACTATTCCCCAGGACCTGCCTTCCGCATCATCAGCCGGCGGCAACCCCATGTCGTTTGGCTGTGGCTACGTCGAAGACCCCTTCTTCGATGCTGGTGTGGCCGTCAACCACGTCCCCGTATTCCGTCGTAGCGATCCTACCACGCCACTGGACACTCCCGTTCTGGATGACAAGGGCGGCATGTTCTATCACCACCAGCAGATGAGCTCCGGTAACGTTGCCAATACCAGCAAGGCTTCCTGGCCAATGGCCACAACAACTCCCCAGACCGACTCTCATGTCGCTTGGTCCAATGCCTATGCCACTACCGATGGCATCGACGACCAGTGGTGGGGTGGAAACAACATGGACTTGACATCCAACTCACAATATCAAGCACAGAACGCTCGCAACGCTACCTTCAACCTCGCCATGCACACACAACACAGTGAACTGCCATATGAATACAACAACATCGCCGCCGCCGGACAGGAAATGTCAGGACTCATGATTCACATGCCTCAACCCCGTACCACATCCTCGCCCATCGTCCACTACCAGCCCCAACAGCCACTTCACCACCAGCAACATCCCCAACAGATGACGGAGCGGCGGCCCCGCATGCCCCGTGCCCCCTCGGCCGGCGCCCGGCATATGTGCCTATCAACGCCGATGCGCAAGACGCGTAACCCGAGCCGCACACGTCAAGCCAGCCGCGACTCTTCAACGTCGCCCACACCTACGAATCGCTCCCGTCACAGCAGCGGCGGCTCGTTGTCCAGTATCGGTGGTGGCGGCGCAGCTCTCAGCGCCAGCGTTAAGAAGCGTCGGTCTTGGTCTCGTCGCGAAAGCATGCGCACTCCTTCCATCGGCAACTTGGGCGGTGCGTCCGAGGGGGTCGGCTTCGTCAACTTTACTCCCAGCGACAAGAATGTTCTCATGACCGGTGTGGCGCCCAGCGGAAGCTCCAAGACAAAGGCACGTCGGGAGAAGGAGGCGATGGAGAAGCGACGAAGACTGAGCGAAGCAGCTATCAAGGCCGTCAAGGCCGCCGGCGGCGATGTGGACAAACTGGTTGAAGAAGGGTTCGTCTTCTGAGCAAAGCATTCTTCTTCCTTCCAATGTACAGCAGGTATACGCTTGGGGAGCGCTTGGGAGTTCATTTTTGGGTCAGGACATGCTTGGGTCCTAAGGGATATCAGGCGTTTTCAAGGGATCATCAATTGTCGGCGATTGATCCGTGAGGTTTTTCCTTCTCTGGATGGGGTTTGCTTCTTTCTCGCCTCTTTCAACTTTTGCTTTTTTTTCATTTACACAACGGCATGGGGAGCGCGAGCTCCGACTGACGCCTGACCGGCTTATTCACGATAGCCGCTTTACTTTCTTACCATCACCAACAAGTACTTACTAGCTAATCTCCTTTTCCTTATGTTGGATCAACCCAAAATCACAGGCTGGAACCCAGGGTATGAGATATGGAGGGATAGGTTATCTTAGCAAAACAGATGAAACATCAAAATATCACACTATTCAAACAAACTGTGAAGTCCCCTTTGAAAGTGATACTATGCTTCAGACTTTCCCATGGCCCAACTTTCCCATCACGAATATCTACATCACTTATCCGAGACCAATGGCATCACACGAGTCATCCTTCTTTGGAAGAACAATAACAACAACATCAACATTATCTAATCAGTCAGCAAATAGCAGTCACTCTGCTACTACTCGGCGGTGCCTTGCGGTCGCTCCATGAATGACGCCTCGCGCAGCCTCTCGCTAGATCCCAGTCCGCAGGGTCGGGGCAGCCTCTCGTGGTGAACTACGGCGCCGCTACGTGAGGCCGTCTCTCGACCAGCCGTTAGCCGATCTACGCTGGGCAGAGCGCCGCCCAGGTCAGGCCGCCAGAGCAGGAGGGGGTATCCTCCGTCCCTTCTCTTCCTTCCCCTGGGCCGAACCTCGCTCGTCACGTTCGGTGTCTGTGCGATCCCGCATCATCCGTGCCATCCCCATGACAGGCGAGCGGGCGGGCGTTATGGAGAAAAAGCAGGTACCCCCTTCCACCCCCCCTCCGGGAGCCAACACAGACCAACTTCCGACGACGATGATGGGGAGGATGAGGAGGAGGGGGCCCAGAAGTGCACCTGACCAGGATGTAGCGAAAGAGGTCCAGGCCCAGGGAGACTTGATGGGATAATGACTTCCTACAGACAACGAGGACTACCTCACCTAGGAAAGGGTAAAGGCAATCACAACCCAAATGTGAGTGGAGCAAGGGGGTGTGGGCTGGCCTGTGTTAGTCCCTCCTCCCCGTTCCCTTTAAAGGTCCAAATCGCCGCAAACAGATAGCTCTTTTGCCCTCTTTCTCGTCCTCTTATCCCATCATGACTTGGCTTTCGCATCCACCTCAGCCAGACGCTCCCCGGATTCTCCGCTAAGCCTTACCTCTCGCACTCCTCGGTCTCCTCTATCACCCACCCACACTGGCATTCGGAGACGCCTCCTCTGCTATCCTAGCAAGACCGTCGGGATTTGAAGTTGGGATCTCGGTGAAATCCACCCCCTCCTCTAACGGATGATCAAGAGGGAACGGCGTCTCCATACCGCCTCACTTCTCCTCGCCCAAGGAAGGAAAATCAAGAGACAGCCACAAGCTGACATGACAGTCTGACGGTATGCCTGCCCACGCGCCTACGAGCCCGACTCTTGAAGACTAGTGCAAGATCCCCGTTGCAGAATCTCGCAGCTCAACATGCAAACTACTGTCTACAGCTGTCTGTCTGCGGCGCCAAACCCGAAATCGAAAGGTGCCAGGAGCATGATGGCAACAGGGCGCAGTCTCGCGTATCAATGTCTCAGTGCATAGTCCACCCGCCTGGGCTTCGAGTCTCTCTATCCCGCTGCTCTCTCACAATCACGATCTCGCTTGCTCGATCACACATTCGCAGAAGTTGCTTGAATCGGGAAAGTCTCGTTCCGTTCAGATCCCCCACCGTCTACATCGTACACCCTTTCCGGAAACGTTATTGCATCTTTACAATCCACGGCCGTACGCCGCAGCCGCGCTACGTCTCGACCCTGCAGACTCTCCTGGACCCCTTTCGCAACGTCCGTTGCCCGACTGAAAGCAGGTACTCACTACATCGCAAGCGAAACAAGATCTCTCATCTTCGTACGATGTTAACGATAGTCAACGTACCTGCATGGGTCTGGCCTTGTGTAGCCGCGACGCGGGACCACCAACGCATCTGCCCAGGCGCAGCCGCCCAGCAATGGGCTCCGTCTTCGACCGGAAGCAGCACCGGGACGAGCTCCGTCCCCTTGATACCACTCCCAACCGCCACAACAAGCGCAAGATCTCGACTACTTTGCCATGGCGAGCCTTGTCTCACTCGCTTCATCCGAGAGATCGAGAACCTTGCCCGGAGAGGCGCGCATCTCTACCCGCGCAGTCTAGAGCATCACGACACTTGTCAAGAGAATGCGCCCCTGCCCAGACGACTGAGTAAGGGCGCGAGACACTGGGCTGACAGAATTTGATATTCTACCTCAAAGGAGCCGCGCAATACAGAAGCCTCTGACCCTGTATGGCGGGCCACGTTCTGTTGACAATGTCTTGGATCCTCGTTTCATTTCGGGCAAAGACCTGCGAATAAGTGACATCTTGTCGCCTCGTAGGCAATATGCGCCCATGATATCGTCATTCATGTCAAAAATGGCATTCTATGAGGTAAGGTAGGAACAAACGACCATCAGTCCCCGCTTCAAGACCCTCAATTTGGTCGGCAAGCATCAAGATCCGAAACGATCACCGTTATTTGCGCTGTTCGTGCCGATGCTCTTGACTTCTCGCAGATGGTCAAACATGATCAGCATTCAACAAACATCATGGTTTCCCAACCGTCCACCAGCCATTGCATCGTGTTCGAAGCAGATTTTCTATATACGGAAAGAGAAAAGGCGTCTTACCGATGCTCTTGATTTGGTCAAGCGGCATCTTTCTCTCGTTATTTGGCCAATAACAATTTCTCCGGAGACATCTCTGTCATTGTCTTTCTACCTAGCTCATGGAATTCTCCGTAGCCAACTCTAAAAAGCCGTACAGGAACTATGGGGACCTCTCTGCCACGTCCAAATCCGGACGAAAGCAGACTTTCTCGGTCGTCGTTTCTCGGTCAGTCCAGATGTATGTCTTACCCCGGGCCCCATCCGACCGCTGCTCACTTACACCTTTTGACTAGGCTCTGATATTCTGGGCAGGCAATATCTGGGGCCAGCCGCCAGCACGATACCTACTACTGTGGCTCATGGCAGCCTTGCTATGTTTGGCAGTTCTGCCGTGTCCGCCTCAGCCCCCGCCGTCATGACAGCTGGCGTCTCGTCGACCGACGACATGACGAAGAGGTTAGCCTATAGGTTACTCCGTGCACTATCCCCTTTCTTTACTTTCAGCCCGACTGTGGCAGCCGCCATCTCACACGAGCCACAGTTTATTCTTCTCTCCATCTCTCGGGCTAATTATTCAAGCCTCATGTTGCCCAAGCGAGTGTGGGATCTCCAAGGGAATAGGCGCGGCGTAGCCGGAATCCCAGAAGACCGTTACCCTCCGACCAGATTGTCCGTGATATCCACACATCTCGGTCAGCCATCAAGAGTGTCCGGGGCTTCGGGGCGTACAACGCGTCTGCTATAGCTAGCTCGCGCGTCTATCTGCCTTGTTCTATCTCAGTCCTGTGGTCGAACGACAATGCAATCAACCAATAACAACGACGAGAAGTCCGAGGGCCCCCACGTCGCGCCTGGTGAACCGACTCCAGACCTCGTGGACGTTGGTGAAGAACCCAGCAGACTGGTGATCGTACCAACCAAGCGGCCGCCAGGGGAAAAGCCCTTCCAAATACCTGAAGCCACAGGAAAGCCGGCCAGATACCCCGAAGCCCTCGTGTTGACACCTTCAGTGGAATCCTCGCGATGTCTTCAGGCACTTCACTGCACGTCCAGAAGGGCCCGACTCTACATCGAGTTGAAGCCCTGCTCAGATGACCATCCTCCTCGTCTTCAAACCTAAGATGAAGCAGCTTGTAAAACGACAACCTAATTTTGGCCTGACGACGCCTCGATACCGTGATATCAAGCAGTAGACTGCGCCGCCGACCAACCTTGCCGTCACTCTTGGAACTACCGAGACGCGCCACACGTTGCCAGGCACAACCATCACCTCAACTGCAGCCCAGCGGAAGCGAAAAAGCCCATCCCCAGAAAACGCCAACGTAGGTGTACCGCACCCTGCATGTGCCGCTCTCCGGCTCCTGGCCCACCTGCCTTGGCCATTACCGCCCTGCATCTGAAGCCTCACGACGACCTCCACAGTTCGAGGCCGTGGTAAACCACCGCGCCACAAGCCTGGTCTTGGTCAGCCGGGCCTGTTGTTTCCGAGAGGGTGCGGAGCTCGAGCAGCCACAGTATGTCACGATGTTGCTTCCCATAGTCGGCCGCTCTACCCTTCGCTTCCGACTGGAGATGCCTTACGCCCTCATCTCCAGTAAACAAGCTTGGAGGCTTCCGACTCCTCAACGCCCTTTGACGAGCAAAAAGGAGCTCTGTCCACCACCCTAGACCTACCTGGACATGGCTTCTTCCCATCTACGCACCCCTCCCAGCTAGACCACTCCCCTCCTCGCTTGCCGTTTCCACATTGGAAATAGCTCGACTGAATGCCGTCTACCCTTCTTGTCCTCTGTCGCGGCTCACGATGGCCAAGGGGTGTGATACGGGCCCAAGAGGACTGTTTCTTTCTCAACGTCGCGATGCCAAGACGCGTTGAAGGGGTCGGTTAGTCGGCCCATCTTGGCCTTGTACTACCGACCCTATCGACGGTCAAACCTGGACATCGTCAACTCGAAATCCTTCCGACGTTACACAAACTTTGCGAAAACCGGTCTTCCGCTCCATCCCAACGTACCACCCATCATCCGTTGGATTGCGTGTTTGAGCTCCCATGATCCCATTCTCGTTTCCCCTCTTCCAGCTCGTCAAGGTCTCGCCTGGCGGGCTGACCGATCGACAACAGCTGCCTCGTCCATCACAAATCGATGACCGTTATACAGACAAAGAAAAGGCAGTCGTCTCCTGGTCTCCGGATTTGTGTTAGCCTGGGACGGAGGGGCCTGTCTCACTGCACTCACAATGAATGATAGGCAACCTCCGTGACTTTGCTCCACCTTTTGCTTTGCCTTTTTCTCTTCTTGAGCCTGCCATCCTCTCATCCCCTCTACAGCGTCTCCCGTCCTGAATCCTATTCCTCATACTTGTTGCCTTTCTCCGTGTCGGCCTCTCTATTTCTCCACCACACCTAATCCACACCACCTTCACCGAGCCCACTCTCACCTCCCTCACCTTCCACGCTTTTCCCCTCCGAGCCCGGGGTGTGGATGACTGGATCTTCTCCTTCTCCTCCGGCCTCCTCCGGTACGGACGTATCATTCAGGTCCCGCCTGTCCATCCCACCCATCCATCCTGCTCCCTACACAAGAGGGTCCAGAACGGCCGTCGGTCAAACCTTACCTGCCGCGGGAAACGACATCCCTTTTCCAACTGATATCAAATCAAGACTGCCCCGGCTCGTCTTCCGGACCAGACGTTCTATCCCGTGTTGTCTCCCCCATCCCACCCACCCATCATTCACTTCTTTGATGGGTTAGACAAGAACAGGTGAGCATCAACTAACTAACGTCCGAAACTTTTTGTGTTTAGCTGTCCATCTCGCGGTAGATCAGCCGGCCGAACCACCCACCCAAACGGCCGAATCTTTAACCCCCCTTTGCCCGTTTGCCCAACTCTAAATGGGGGGAAACAAGAGAAAAAGAGAGTACTTTGATCGTCGGAGTTCTGTCCGTCTCTTGATCCACCGTGACACAAGAGCCGAGGGGAAGAGAGGACAAGACAACTCAACAAAGATGTCGACGGCGGACACTCTGGGCTTCCTCGCCGTCGGCCAATCGTGGTTCTTCCCCTACCACCCCCTAGATATCAAGGCCTGCTCGTCCGTCAGTAAGTAAAGTTTTCATCAAGAAGAATTCGCCTGGAATCGGCCTAGACATTGCTTGTCTCCGAAAGGCTTGTGTAACAAAGGGATTCATTAGCTATTTTGTGAGGGTTTTTATCTGTTTTCCTTATCATGGGGTTCATCATATCCCTAAGAGAATCAAAACCTTCCAAGCTGAGTGTGACCTCGGCACGGATGGATTTGCTTTCCTCTTGCCATTGGAGCTGGCTTTTTTTTTGTGAACCCCTATCCCAATTCCTAGTCTGCCCAATCCCACTGCTGCTGTACTCGCTGGCGAGGTATCCTTTCTCCTGCCATCAGCAACTTATTTACAAAATCAAGAAAACCCAGTACGGCGCAGCAATCCTCCTGATTAGCGTGCCCGACGACCCCGTAAAACAATAATCAACGCCGTGATCTCGGGACGCCGTCTTCAATGCCAGACACAAGTGTGTGGAACATAGAGATGAGAGAAGGAAAAAAAGGAAGATACCATTCCGTCTATCCTGTGATGCATTGCGTCATAACCCAAGGTGAGGGCTCAAGTCTCCCTTCTCACACCTGGCCCATCATTACTGAGCTGGTGGGGTTTTGGGTTCCTGTCAAAATCCCTCATGTTTTCGTGTATCCGAGAAAATGTGCCCAAGATGATTGGGTGGACCAGGATGCCAACACATATACAGAAGAACCGGCAAGATTGCCTAGCGCTTTGTCCTTGAGACTGTGGTATCTCCCATCAAAACGGGCAAACATCATGTGAAGTCATATCTAGTGCTCATATCCGGCACCACGTTGCCAAGGGCTGTTCGATTGTTAGCTACTGTATTGCCAAGTGGCTCTTGTTCCTTTGATATCTTACCTGGCGTTGTTTTGGGAACGGTACTGCGCAGGGCTGGCATTGTTCTGGTTGCGGTACTGGTTGTGATTGTTGGCACCAAGCGTTGATGCAGAGCCGTTGTACGGGCTTGGGGTGCGAGTAGGCCCTTGTCCATAGGGGTTGCGGTTGTCTGCCGGGAAGAGAGGCATCGAAGGGTCCACTGGTGAGTGCGGCGCCTGGCCGTGCTGTTGACCTCCAGGACGCTGAGAGTGCTGAGAGGGCGCAGCTGACTGGGCAGTCGATGGCGGCAAAGCAACACCAGAGGGGTCCGCTCGGCGACGCATGGACTCAGAAGAGATGGAGTCATTGTCGTCATCGAGGTCGAGTCCCTTGTTGTAGTGGGCCTTGTCACCTCGGGCAGTCGCAGCCAGAGCGTCCAACTCAGTAGTGGTGTTGAGCTGGGTCTGGGACTTCATGAAGGAGGCTCGGTCATCGGCCATGAACTGGTAGCGAGCATCAGGGTTCTTGCGGAAGTAGATCAATGTGCTGCTGACAATAACAAGCAGCAGAAGGATCAGAGCGAAGGCCGCGTTGGCGATGAATAGAACCACACCGACGATACCGTTTACCAGAGCCGGGGCACCGAAAACGTCGGAGAAGATGAGCAGGAAGACGGCGTTGAGGAAGTTCATGACGCAGATGGCAATGTTGAACGAGTTGGTGCTCTTATCCATCCAAGGGCGCAAAACACTGGCAGCGATGAGCGCAGCAGCCTCAATAATGACGAAGGCAATGGCCTGAATGGTTCCGTTGCGTTGGGCAAAGGCGACGAACATTCCCTTGACAACAGTGTAGCCAAGCGTAGGGACGATGAAGTAGTATGCCGAAGCGCGGAACTGAACGTAGAGGAAACCCCACTTGTTAAGGGCCTGCGGGTCCGAGAAGAGGATGTAGGCCGGGTTGCGATGCATGGCCACGGAGCGACGCGCGATTCTGATAACCTTGAAGGAAGCCCATCCGAGGGTGAGAGCCATACCGAAGAGGAAGAAGACAGCGAGAACAACCTCAGCCGCGGAGTCAGCCTGGGTGAACTCCCAGAGGCAGAGAATCGTCATTTGGGGGAAACCAATCAACGTCATACGGAAGAGGATTCCCTTCAGGACAGTGAACCAGCCGTTGCGGAACTCGAGGAACTTCTCGCTCTTCATCCACTTCTGTCGGACAGCCAACTCGCAGAATCCCTTGAAGGCGGCGACGCCAAGAACGGTGAAGATGACGAAAACGCAGAAGAAGGACAAGCCAGTCATGAAGAGATTAGTCGATTCGATCTTGGCGCGGAAGGCAACTCTCTGGATACCGAACACGATGTAGCTGCCGGAGGAAAGCTGAATGTTGGCTCTCTTGGCGATGATGGAGGGAACGGAAGAAATGCCACGCTTGGCCATTCTGGCGGCAGAAAGGGCCCAATCCATGGAACGCTTCTCAACCTGGACAGAAGTGGTCGTCAAGGAGTTGAGGAGAGTGGAAGGAGTTCCACCAGTTGCCCGCTGGTACCATGTGAATATATCCTGCATGAACTGGACGCGGATGATACCCATAGACCAAACGAAGTCCTGAGTCCATGACTGGACAATAGGCGGCAGGTGAACACCGGTGAGACCAACAATAGCCTGAGACTGGAAGTAGCCGAAAAGCGATAGCGTGTTGGCGGCAACGTGGGCAGCGGTGTTGGTGTGACCGAGACCAGAAATAACGGCGGAAGAGATCAGTCCCAAGCCGGCGATGATGGCGGTAGCCCACTTGACACCAATCAAGTCGACAGTCTTTCCGTTGGAAATATCAGCCTCAACGCAAGCCACACTAGTGGAGGTGTCGGTCAAGTTGACGAAGACACGGACGGTAGCGTCGAGATCGGGAATGTTGTAGGCAATGCCCGGAATCTGGCCAACGGCATCCTCACCAACAGGCAAGTTGAAGTTCATGGTGATCTTTCCGGCAGTCATGGGGCACAGACCAGCGAGGTTGATGCTGCAGGGGTCAACAGTGCGCCTCAGGAACTCGTAACCGTAAGCCGAAATAGACACATCAAAGACAATGCTGCCCTGAACAGAGGAGACGGCGACAATGTTGATTGCGGCACTTCCATTGCCGGGGGTGAAGACAACGTTGAACAGACTGGCTGTGAAGCTGGAATCATCCTGGCAGGTGTTGAGAGAGTTTGACTGGAGCAACTGCTCAGCAGCAAGGACTGGCGTAGTGAGGTAGGTGGCCAGGGTGCCGAGCAGAAGCAACGGCTTAGCGAGTGACAACCTCATGGTGGGTGGTAGGTCGTCGAGATGGTCTGGGTTAGAGTAAGAGGTGATCCGCTTGACTGTGGTCCAGTATCGTCGTTGGTAGACGATGGAGCGCGGAAGATGCGGGGGGTCGAAAGCCGTCTAGGTCGAGAATATCATGGAGGTTGACGTCGTTCCAGACGGTATTGGCGACAGAAGACGATTCGGTAGAAGCAAAGGGATTGATGCGGTCGTCGATCGAGCTCGAGGCCTCTGCAGTTATTTCGCAAAGGTTGGCTTGTTTTCCGTGGCAGGGGAAAAGGTGCTAGCGAAGGTTATCTGCCGACGAATTGGAGGTTTGGCGCGGTGGTTGTTCCTGTCAATCCTCCTGTTCTGGCGAAGAAAACGAAGCGAGCGATGGAGGGAATGGAGGAGTGCGTCCCTCTCGAAGGCGGCGACGGAAGAAGCGAAGGGAATATTCGTGTCGTCGTTGTCGTCGAATCAATCGGTAGTCGCAGGGCTAGGTGTCGACCTGAGGGAAAGGGTCGGGATTGGAGATGGGTGGGTTTGGTGGTTTTGTTGTTTGTTGCTAAAAGGAAATTGGGAAAGGAAGGGAGAGGGAAGGGAAGCAGATCGCCAAGCGGAGGGCTGGACGGGGAAGGAAGGAGTGATGAAAGGAGGCGCCGGTGGTGGTTGCTGGATGGCACTGTGGAGGGAGTGGCAGGTGCTTGCTGGCTGCAACCTTGGTTCCTTCCTTGGTGCGGCTTTCTCTGCTTGGGTTCGAGTGAGCGAAAGGCAAAAGCAGGACTGGACCCAAAACCAAGACGGGTGGAAGGTCGGATTCAGGGAAAACCGGGCAACAAGGGCCAGAATACGGGGGTGGAAGGATGATGGGTATAGGCAAAGGCCCAAGGGAGAGCGACGCTGTGCTGCGACAGGCGGACAGCAGGAATCCCGTGGATTGACTTGTGTCTGGTGTGTGGATGCGCCACTTTGTGGGTAGTAAAGGGGACAGGGGTAGAGGGGGGCCGTAGTACCGTACGGGGTTGCGAATGGGTGGTGTCGGCCCAGGCTGTCGTAATTTCAATCTTTGGAGCCGGGTGGTGCGTCGTCGAGGTGCGAATGTGGGATGTACCTTGGAGACACTTGGTTTTGGGCCCCCCTGTTTAAGTGGTGGAAGGGGAGAACGGGGGAACTTGGAAGGACTTTTACACTCCCAAAGAGACACGAGGGAAGGATGAAGGAGGGAAGAAGCGAACACGCGCCCAATGGGATGAAGAAGAGGTACTGCCTGCTGAGTCTTGCTTGACGAGGCTGGAAAAGGACGCAACCGGGGACATTGAGTATACCTTCTCTTACACATGTTTCACCAGCAAGTCAGAGGTTCTCTGGCTGTACCTCCGCATCCAAAACTGGATTCAGCTCGTATCGATCTAACAGAGCTACTTGTCTCTGGCGCGTAAAGCCGTCAGGAACGGTCCAGACGAACACGCAGCCAGCGGGACACATGTACACACAAAGTCAACTGAAATGCTGTCTGTCACTGTTGGAATCAGCCAAGCAACACCACCAGAATCACGACTCACCACCACCACCACAAACACACCACAGGCTTGCTGTTGCTGCAGTGCCCAAGGATGTATTTTGGTCACTCATTACGAGGCAGAGCAAATTCCACACATAACAGATGCCGGGGAAACAACACAATGCCTAATTCACGCAAACCAAACCAAACCAAACCATTCAAGCATCAACTTCAAGGTCCGAGAATAGCAGATCAACATCATTTCTAGACTCTCAGCCATGATTGACGAAACAGCATATGTGGACCAGATACAACTCGGCCTACTCGATGACCCCGCTGCTACGCCAATCCATATTCTCTATAACCTTCCGCTACACCAACAGCATCAGCATCGACAACACAGACCCGATCGTCGTTGGCGTTGTCATTCACATCCTCGTCCAACTTGGCGGACTCCCGCAATCATAGCGTCATGCAAACCGACTGCCTTCCGCCATCCGAATATCCCACCTGCAGCTCTGCATGGCCAAGCCTCAAGCCTCAAGTCTACCAAGGTCATTCATCCAAATCCCCGTCCCATCTTTGCTCCCGTATCCCGTCTGCATTTCGATTCTTATTCTCTGTATCCATACGGATGCAGGTTCTTCAGCTTCTCAATCCAGCCCCCAGACACTGGCTGCAGACACGAATGCTGACAACTAATAAACTCCCATCGGCTTACATCGCCCCCGCCCGCCGCCGCGCTACACCGCGTACGAACATACGCACAGTCATCACCACAACCCGTTCCAGTCCAGGTCATCGTCATCGGCCTCCAGCCTCTCCTTTCTCGTAATGAATGCTGTCAACGGACTAGCCTACACAGTAAGCCTCAGATCACGCAGTCCCGGGCCTCCGAAAATTCCCAAGACTCTCCAAGACCACTTTACAATGCTTCCAAGACCTAAGCCTCCACGACAAGAAACCCAAACGGGCCCAAGTAGCTACTGCTGGCATGTTCCCTCGCTTGCTCTCATCTCAAGCACCTCCGCGACACGGGGTGTTTGGGTGTCGCCTAGCCTCAGACATCAGACAAGACCACCTCGAGAAACAGGAACACGGCACCACGACCAGAGGAAGAAGCGGCACGCACTAGACCGAGCCAAAGAAGAAGGCTAACCCACAGCTCATTTCCATTCCTCTGTTTCTCTCGTCGAGTTCAGTCTCTGTAGTCTGCACTGCCACGATCAACTCTCTCCAAAGGGCACGCGTACGTACGCATTACTCCAGCAGACCATGCCGCGCCGGGGTATCTTGCCTGCTCACACCTGAAATGCCGGCTCCCGGGAGAGCGAGTGCGACCGAAGGCTTCAGTGGTGACCAGTCACTGGTGTCTACCCAGCCCGATGCCCACTGAACAGGCTCGACGTCACAAATCCATGCCCCCCGGCTTGCGTGGTTTCGTCCCAACGGGATAGAACTTGGCCGGGGTCATTTCTAAGGAAAAGGGAATCACGAGCCTGAGACGTCTAAAAATGGCCCAGCCGCCCCAACGGCGGTTGGTAGGCTACCGTTGCGAGGCTGAACCGTCCAGCAGGCCGTGGACTCTTGGAAATCGCCTATACGAAAATTGATGAGAGCACAAAAGACAAAATGGAAGGCTTTTCAGAACGCTTTCTTGAGGCTGCCGTCTGCCAGCCTTCACCCTGTAACATGTTCTGCAGCACCATGACTTTCCTCACACTGACAGCTCACCGCGGCACACCGAGCCGAGCGACCTAGACCATTATTCCGGCCCACGATGGAGACGGATGAGCGATGGACCAACAAGATTTCCAAGGCTAACGCTGATGATCGACGAGCATCCAATGTTTTGGGCTTATGAACCGCTGGTCCGTCGTTACAGACTTTCCAGTGAGTGAATATCCCAACTTTGCTCAGTAACAATTTCAGTTGCAGGTCCGGGCACGAGAGGCTGTGTTCGTTCACCTTGCCTTTTTACCTTATGTTGCTTATGCAGGGTTTCCCGCCGACAAGAAGCCAATTGCGACGCTGCCCGAACCTTGTTCTCATCCGTCTGGCTCCCTCCCTCGCACAGTCCTCGACTACTCTCTCAGAGTCTGCGAGTCTTCATCCTCGTTGGTCCCTCCCGAGACGCGGATCCTCCGTGCATCGCCACGATTGAGATTTCTCGCTTCGAGCGTGTTCCGGCTCGCTCTAGACGAGCGCACATCAAACGGCACTCAGAAACAATTCCATCTCCCTTTGCAGCTCCCTTCTCCGCAAAACCCACATTTTCAAATCTCGTCAGAGTGGTCAGCGTGCCAGCGGTGCCAGTGTGGCAGCAACCCGCCAGCAACGCGTGCTTCGGGGCCCGGTGTTACGCTGAAAATCACAATCCCTTCCCAGTCTGGCGGCAACTCATCTCCAATCGTTTAGCCAAAATAAACATTGCTGGTGGGAACCCGTCACAATCCACACCCACTGTTCACGGCATCGACAGCAATGGGGGTGACGAAGTTTTCCCATAATCGCTCATCAATGATCAATCTCCAGAGCTGGGGCCCGCATGCCACCTGCAGACTTTCCTTGCGTCGTTTAACATCGACTGCCATGTGTCTCGGAACATTTGACTCGTACCATCATGCCTTAGCCTCCCTTGAGGAATTTTGCAATAATGGCTTGTTCCTTGCAGCATATTGTTTCTTCTATCCTTCCCTCTCTCATTATTCCAAGGCAACAAATTCTGTCATAAGAGGAAGGGAGGGAAAAAACACACAATTCCTCCAATATTCCCACCTTGCAATTATATGCTCATTTATCGACAACCTTAATCTATGTCATGCTGCTCAAGGTCCAGGGTCCGAAATACTCCATACACGTTATAACACAAAAGTTAGCACTCGCCCCGAAAACGAAGAGGCGACTTCTCTCCTCGTAAGGCCGGTTCTGTCCATCCGCAGATAAATGACCCGACGCCTTAAAATAAATCACGAACGCCTTACCATAACATGGAAGATCGTCCGCTTCCGTTGAGGGAATCCATAAATGCCATTCAATTCTCTACAGGCGGCGGAGTTCCTGAGAAAAGTGGCATGAGGTAGGAAAGGAATTCCAGCGCAACACATTGACGGTTTGACCCTGGGAGTCGCGCGTACATTCTCAGCTTAGACTGTCAGTTTACTGAAGACAAGGAATCGACGTTGTGTGCATAATTTCCCTGCAGCGTGATGTCAGCGTCGCCCGCGAAGACCAGTTTGTGAGGATGTTCAACTAGAAATCCTGAAAAGTCGCCGACCTACCAATGCTATTGAAATAGACAGATTGACCGAGTAGTCAATTGGTAGATACAGCCAGAGGGGATCGGTTCATTTGATTCGAACCCGGTTTCTTTTCCCTCGTATCGCGATGAAGTGTACCAGCCCGTCGACCTCGCGACAAAACAGAGGCCTGGTGATCAACCAACCAAACTGGCAATGGCGGCGAGCCACTCCCGCTCACTAACACGGGGGATCGACAGGGCAACCGGCGACATGGCTGTCTTTTACCAGACCAGACCGGCTTACGATATTCGTATGGCGTACGGCATGTCACGATTTCTACGAGTATCTGATTCGACTCGATAACGCACTCTGTATGAGCACGCTCTTTCCATCGATGAGATTCTTCATTATATGGCAGAAGTGTGAAGTGGCATTCATCACATTCCCTTCATCTATCAAAATCGATTCTGCATGCATGCGGTACGCTCAATCGCTGTACTCGTAAAGCCAAAAAAAAGCTCCTCAAACACCCACCACCGTGAACCCAAAAACCCGCATGCATCTTCATCAAATGCGTCTAAATCCCACCATATTTCATGTGAAAATGTAAAACCATAAAACTCCCGCCTCCTTTCCCACTCTGTACTGCTCCTTTCCGAGTGAAATGAACGCCTTCGTGCTCGTTTTCATGTGATTCATCTCCAGGCAGCAGCTTAAACCACCCCTTTCCATGAGCAATCCAATTCAACTGCCGCACCTTTTCCCCTTCGTAGTTCATCTCAACGCCTTTTTTTTTTTTTTTTTTTCCATCTCGCTCTCGCGGTTTGTATGTTCCACGGTAACGATATTCAATCATATTGATCCCACTGCTGGTTCCACGGCTTATTTGTCCCCTGGAAATCCATACCGTGCTTATAGTACCCCAACAGCTCCTCCTCGTCGACGCCGCAGTGCGTCTGCCCATCGCGGCCCTCGAACCAGCCCAACCCGTACGTCTTGCCGAGCCCCTCGAGGTACCGCGCCATCTCGGCATTGCTCATACGCGCCGTGTTGACAAAGTCGTAAATCATCTTGCTCTGGTGGATGAAGGCGAGGTGCGACGAAATGGTGTTGGGCTGCCGCGGCAGGAACGGGTGCCGCCGCCGGAGGAACACGATGGTCGCGACGGTGCCCATGTACACGAGGATAAAGGTCGCCAGGCCGTACGAGATCCAAAAGGACGAGACGGTTTCCTGTCCGGCGTTGATGCCGCCGAGGTCCGGGCCGTCGTCCTCGACGCCGTGGTGACCGCCGGGTCGATCCTGCGGGTCCGGCGGCGGGGCGTAGGCGGCGTCGAGGAACTCTGTGCCCACGACCGTGGCCAGGCTGGTCAGCAGCACCGTCAGGACCTCGGCCATCATACTGCCGAATCCGACGAGGAACATGAGCGTGTGGGCGTTGAGGAAGGCGTGGAACGGCATCAGGGCGAACGGCATGGCCGTGTAGTCGAGCGTGAGCGTCTTGGACGACGAGTGCCTCTTTGACAGGATGTAATACGGCTCCATCATGCGCATGTCGGTCTCGAGGCCGCCCCAGCCGAGCTTTATGCAGACGGCCAGGGCGGTCACGACCCACGGCGCTTTGGACGTGATGATGCTGGCGCTGGAGAAGAGAAACACCGGGATGAAGCCCGTGAAGAGGGCGATGCCGATGACGAACGGGAGGAAGCCGCCGAGCCGCAGGGATCGCGGGTGCGGGTTCTGCGAGAGGTGGTCGTCGCGGTACTTGTCGGTATCCTGCGACGACACGGGGTTTTCGTCGTCGGGGGCCAGCGACGCGTTGCGCAGGACGTAGCGGCGGTGCTTCAGCTTGTCGTGGATGTCGCGGTGGCTCACGACGTCCAGGTCCGCAAAGTCCACGAGGATGTGACTGACGACCGCCATGGACGCGAGACCTGCAATGCCCTTGACGTCGGCCAACAGGCCAGACCTTCTCCTTTGGAGGATGTAGAAGAGGATGCAGCCGCAGAGGGCGCAGACGCAGAGGGTGGAGGATAGCAGCCTCGACCAGATGGCATTCAGTTTGATCTCTTTGTCGCCGTTGGGATGCGCAAGGCGTGTAGCCCTATCGGGATATAGAAAGAAGGACGCAGCGCCAAAGGTTGGCACCAACGACACAGCCAGGGAGGTCGCGATGGAAGACACAGCGACCGCAAAGTGCCGCAGTTTGATCGCTCGGAAAGGCCGCAGCCAGCTCAGGCTGGTGACATAGTCAACGTTGATGGACTCGGCTGCAAGTGCACCTCCTTCTTTCGAAAGCTGATAGTACGCTTCGAGGCGCTTCACTTCAAAGTCGGTGACCTGCCACAACACGCCGTACGTAACGGAGAGGATAGTCGGCAGGAACTTGACGGCGAAGTACTCGAGCCCCGGAACATCGGCGGGACTTTTGAACTTGACCAGAGGATGAGTCTGCGATCTCTGGTAAAGAAACTCGACCATGACGGCGAGGGCAACCGACAGAACGATCAAAGCGGTGAGATATGGCCATCTCATCGAAAATGGCTTCCAGTTGGGCTGCGGGTAAAAGACCTGTGTCCTCTGGCTCCTGTTGACGGGGAACGTGGCGTGCCGTATACTAGCATCGTCGCCCATGATGCTCGGTCCCGCGACAACGCTGAGATCGACCTGGTCTACCTGCCGTCGAGCGGCCTCCTCGGGGGTGTCTTCGATGATGACCTCAATGACCTTCCCCTGCTTATTAGCCTCATCCTGGCCGCGGTCCTTGATGGTGGCTGCACGACCCAACTTCTGACGACGAGAAAAGGACCGCGTAAGGGAGGACCTCTTAGGCAGCGGGGACGACGAGAGCAGATCCTCGCCCTTGATCGTGGTGTCCGGCCTGAACCCGGCCCCGAGACCACCGGTGAGATGACCGCTCGCCTCCTGCTCCTGCAATCTTCTAAGGAACGCATCGTCTTGATAGCCCATCGGGCCAAGCGCAGCAGTTACATCGAAAATGGGTTCGTTATCCGGAACCGACTCGTACTGCGACGATTGGCCTATGGGTGCGGCGGAGCGCAGGAGGGAGAGGTCATGCTCTTCCTCGGGGATGGTCTCGTGACCGCGTCGCGATGGTGCGCGACCAACATTCCGCCTCAAGTGCGAGGGCGTTCTAGGGATATCAGGGCCGGAAGGCGGAGGCAGGGACGCATATCCGGCAGCACCGGTGTAGGAAAAGGATGCGGTCCAGGTGGAAGTCGTCGAGGGTCGCCGGTGAGGTTGATGGTCCGAGTTGTGCGGTGACGGCGAAGTGTGATTAGAGTAGGACTGGAGCGAGACCAGGGAATCCCTCCCACGAATTGCTGCCGAATGATGCCCGTCGTAAGAAGGGCTCTCAAAATCGCTGACGTCGGACACGTTGGAACTCTGGTGCGCCAGTCGTGGTCTCTGCTGCGGCGCGTCTGGAGGTTGGTAAGAAGCACCAAAGCCTCTATTGTGCGCCATTGTTTCCAGCGTAATTCATATCGGGACGGGTTGTCGTCTTCGCTATCGGAGGTATTTCTGTTGCCCTTGTCAAAGGTGGGCTTCCTCCGTGACTCGCGAGTTGGCGAGGGTTGGTGTAAGTGCGCAAGGTAAGTCAAGGTTACTGTGAGTACGGGCGAGCGAACGAGCGGTATCAAGACAGGTAGCGAGCGTCAAAAGGCCGAAAAGATGAGAGAAAGCTGAGAAGCCCAAAATCAATCACGCAAAGACAGGCATCTTGGTCTTTTTGTTGCCCAGCCAGAAATTAGAAATTAGGGGGGGAGAGAAGGGGATTGAGATGCTGGGGCACAGCTGAGAAGGGGAGGAGAGCAGTTGTAGGGCTGCCGGGGGCGCGCTCTTTTCCTGGGGGATGTGCGATTGGACGAGGCGCAAGGAACAAAATAGAAATGAACGTCTTAGTCTGCAAGTCCACAAACCGCAGGTCACAGTCCTTGAGTCCGTAGGAGTTCAAAGTTCACTCTCAGCATGGGGTCCACGCTAACCTGCCACCGGGCGAACTAAGGTAGTAGTGTGAAGATGACGGTTAGTTCAAGTCAGGGACTGCACAACGGGCAATGTCTCTCCAGGGGAAAGATTGGCGTGGTAAGGCTGAGTTGAGGAGGAACTGGACGCATGGCGTGAGGTGTGAGGCACCCCAGGCGAGGAGGAATGATGGTGCCAGACAACCTGAGAGAGGGATCCTTCACCCGTCGTGAAAGCCGCAAGCAGGGTCTAAAGACATTTAACAGCATGGATCGATTATGGCTGCGGCTTCTGACGTTTCGTGTCTTGCCTGCTTACCTTGCTATGTATCAACCAAAGTCCCCCTTCTTGAAGTCGGAACACACAACAAAGCACTCTGATGGAAATCTCGTTTCCATCTGCGATCCCAGGAAATGCGAAATGCAGGAGGGGTTGCCTCCGAGCGAACGGCCTGCCGGTCCAAGGGTTACAGCGGCCATGTTCCCACAACTTCGGATGGCATGCCTCTGGTTGTGCCTGTGCTCCGTCCCTCGTCCAGATTAAGCGTCGCACTGACGGTGGGGGATAGACTTTCTCTCCTCCCAATCCCAATGCATGGAACTCCGAGCCGCAGAGCGCAAGCTTACAAACTCTTGTGCGTATGGAGTACGGGTAGGCTGTGTGACGGAGCAGGTATATTGCAATGTAGTGTACGGATACGGAGTGCGACATAGCTGTGAGCGGCGAGCCAACATTATTGCTGCCATCAACATGCAGGCCCTGCAGGACAAATCGATAGTCATTGACGCCCCCCTCCCACCCAGCACCCAGCACTCCGAGCCGCCGGACCTGATCTGACGCAGTCTTGCAGCAACGAGCTGCAGCTGACCTTCCAAGGTGACTGGCTGAGAGACAGAGGTCTTGGGGCTGCCTCTCTCTCGCTGCGGCTATTATTATTAGTATGCATGCCTGGGGCTATATTCAGCCCCCAGAGCCGGGATCGCTTCGCGGGGGGCGTCGCTTAAACTCCTGGCAGCGCGGAATGTTGCCGGGTCATCATCGATTACGAGCTTCTTCTGTTCACTCTGAACCCCTCTGAGGTTGTTGTCGATCTTCCGCTGCTTGCGATCAGTCCGGTCTCGCCCTTTCACCGCGACAGCAACTCAAACTGCCAAAGTATGTCTCACGGTCCGGTGCAATAGACAGGCCTGACTGAGAGACATGACCGGAAGTCGGGCAGGGGAAACATCCCGACGCAGGTGCCCGTGTGAACACGGCGTCGCTGTCGAAAGCCGGCCGTTTGTTCTTGTCAGGTTCCTCCTCATCCTGACCCAAGCCTTGCCGGCCGAGCCTCCCTTAAGAGATGAGCTTCTGATATGGCTGCCGCATGGACAATTTTTGTCGCAGAATACAAACTTGAGATTCTCTCACTCTTTAGCTAACCATCGTTCGCTTCTGACTCTATCTCTTCATCTTATTCGTCCTCGATCTGATTGGGAGGGTGGGTGGTGTTCGGCGTTTGGTGGGCCGCTCGGCTACATCAAAGCCTACTTAGATATGCAAAGCCGGAAGGTGTTTACGAACAACTGGTCGGTTAGCTCAGTTGGTTAGAGCGTGGTACTAATATTTCACCTGAAATGTTGCGTAATGCCAAGGCCGGGAGTTCAAGCCTCCCACTGATCAATTCTTTTGGTTTTTGAGCATTTGGTTTCACTTTTTGCTCTCTTTCGACGATATCTTTAATAGTTCCTCATTTTCTTTTGTCTCTTGTCGTCAGTTTGTTGTTGTGGTGGGTCGGTTTGACTTACAGGCAGAGAGGGCTCCAACCAAAGTCTACTTTCAAAGATCTTACACCGATTTGATACAACCACATACGGCTCTACTGGGTCGTGCCATAGTCACTTTCTAACTAGCGCTCGTCTTCTACTTGAATTATGTGTTTTGGAATTATTGAACGCGGAGAAGTAAGTACTGCTTCTGTGTCCGAGCCTCGTCCGCGAAAAGAAGATGACACTTTGGCGCAGCGTACAAGCTGGAACACATTGCCATGATTTCGTCTTTGTGTCGAGGAAACTCAGCGACCAAGAAAGTAAGTATAACTTCGTGTTTGGCACTAGCATCCAATGCCTAACGCTCGTCTATTGTCAAAGAGACAACTGACCACTTGCCTGTAGCCACGGCAAATTGAACCGTGTGCGCTATGTCTCTTGTTCCAACAATAAAAACTCTTATGCTTCACTTCCTTGACGATACTGAGGCCAGCCCGTTTCATACCTGAGATCTTATGGAAAGGATCCTCCTATTGTGCGAAGATATGAAAGTTGACGGGTCTTTGTTGGTTGCTTATAACTATAACATGTCATTTTACCTGTACGTCGCTGGTCAAAAACGCCATACACCTATTGAGAAAATGAAGCCGCGATGCGGAACAATATCACGACTGGCTGTAGTGTCGGCCTCATTCCCTGATCTACCGCGATAGCCTTTTATGGTAGGGACTGAAAGTTCATGTAGAGGCATGATACTGGAGCTATCCTTTGGTTTGCTGACTGCATCCTCGTGTCCCAGACTTTTGGTAAAGAACTCAGACTCTTGTACTAAGCCAATCAATGGAAACATCAGAGGGCATCCTCATACATCTTTAGCACGATTCGATGTTTTATTATGCACCTGCTGCCCTCTTGGTATCAACAAGCCAGCCGCTGACATCCTCAACGTTTAGCAGTGGAAGGATGAAGTTCATTCTACTCCTGTCGCCCATACCATGGCATTGGTCACTTACTCTGATAGAAAACCGTCACACCATATCTGGAGGCCTTGGCCCCCATGTCACTGTTCAAAAGGGTACCCCGCCGCGTCTGCCTGCGAAGCCGTCAGCGCCCACGACATGCTGCGTCATTACCATCCCTCTTCCCTTGCCTGAAATAAGAAGCATCCGGTAAGCGCCTCAAGGCTTATGAGAGGCAATCAGTCAACTAACAAGTCGACTTGGCCAAGCTGAGATGGTCGTTATCCTGGCGTGTTCCTCAAAGGCGCCCGTGATTCAACCTAGGCCGTGTGGCCACATTTGATCAAAACCCCCTTCAATGCCACTCACCGCGAGCCAGCTGGACGGCCTAGTCGGCATGAGAGAAAGGGGTTTACCTAACTCGAATGCTAAACAAACATTCGAATCGAATTCTTTCTTGGAATACAGATCTAGTATGGAGACCAACTCACACACAAATCCTTAGGTACATGATCCAACGTCAAATTATTCAAGCCAAACAAATGTCGGTCGGGAAAGAGAGAGGCAATATCTTGTCCGAATCCGCGAAGACATTGGTCTAGAAATGACGCCTCGTCGAGACACGTCTCGCATCATACGCGTAATATCGATACATTAGATATCACCCAGTAGAGTAAGAAAACGTTGTAAGTTGAGAAGCGCAAATGCTGGCAAGCCGCCTCTAGGTAACCCTCTATGTTACCTCGGTGACCTGCCGTGCCATGCTGATGATATATTATTCCGTCACTTATAGGCGGATGTCTATTCCGATCGTCTTATACGGTAAAGGAGCCGGTAGCCTCCGGGCTCTTTTCCACCTCCGTTTTGCCCCTCTGTCTTGCTCTGAAGCTATACCTTACTTTGTGTTCATCATACCAAGACCCCCTCCTCGCTATCAGGAAAGCACCTCTCCAGCAACCTCTCGCGATGCCTCACAAGAGCAGGAAACTCGCGCAGAATCTCCGACAGCGACTCGTCCACCCACCCAAACTCCTCGTCGAGCAGCAGCTGCGTGTACGAGAAGACAGACGCGTCAAACAGCGTCGGGCCCTCGCAGCCAAAGAACCACTCACCACCACCACCCTCTCCCCCCTTTTCCGAGTGACTACTACTTCGACTGCTGCCGTTCTCCCCCAGCAACGCAGCAAGAGCCTCAAACGCGGCGCGCGCGTCAGCGTGTACCCTCTTCGCATCCACCACCGCGCTCCTCGTCACCTTCAGCACCTCGGCCTCGGCCGCCGCGCGGACCTGGTGCGCGAGCGTCAGCCTGACGACGGGGTTCTTTGAGGCCGGCTCGATGTAGAGTCGCGACAGGAGGTCCGCGTTGGCGGGGGCGAGGTAAAGGGCGTATAGCCAGGCGGCGCGGAGGCGGTGGTCCAGCAAGGACTGGTAGGCTTGTTCGCGGGCCCTGAGCTCCGCGTCGGGCGCGGAGGAGGTCGAGAAGGAGGAGGAGAGCACGGGCAGCCTCTTGAGGGTTGTGTTTTCTAGGGCGTAGGATTCGAGTTTCGAGGGGCCGGCGATGGGGCGGAGAGGGGAGGGCGGGAGGAGGTAGGGGAGGGCGCCGGAGGGGGAGGCGTGGTTTGTTGAGGGGGCGATGTGGAAGTCTACGCCGGCGATTCTGAGAAAGGTCTGTTTGGGAGGGGAGGGTTAGCCGGATGCTGCGTGCAAAGACGGAGGACGGATATAGGCAACGGCGGGCATGTCGCCAGGGAAGAGGAGGAAGACATCGAAACGAACCTGCCACTTTAGACACGAGGGGTTGAAGCTCGGTCGGCCCCTCGGGGCATCGTCGTCCGCGATGAAGACGTATAGTGTCGGCGTGTCGCCGCGGGAGGGACTGCGGAGGGGTAGGTCGTTGGCAGGGTAGACGGCGAGGGGGAAGCGTCGGAAGAGGGCGGCGACGGGGGCCGGGACGGCGAACCAGCTTCTCGGGGTGTTGTCCGGCATGATGGCTAGCTTGCGGCAGCGGCGTTGGCGCCGGAGGTGGCTTGCTCTCGGTGAGGCCGATGCGGTCGATGATGAAGGCGGGCGGGCGGGTAGGAGTCCTGGGCGTGGGTGTGGTTGGGAGGGATTGGATGGAACGGAGAGCTCCCGTCGTATGACGCGGGGAGATTGAGCCGAGGGTTGTGGAGGTCGGGTGTCCGGTAGACGGGGCTCGGCGGCGGGGTGAGCTGCGGGATGGGATGCAGAGCGAGCTCGGGGGAAAAGATGCGGCGCCGGTGCGTGGCTGGTAGGTGTGATTTGCCCTGGGAGAAAGGGGGAGCGGTGCGGCGTGCGGCGTGCCTCGGTCTCGCGGAATGGCGGGGCGGTAGGCTGTAGTTACCTTTCTCAAACTTCAAAGTTGGGCCTGAGGTCAGGAAATCGGTATACTCGGTAGGTAGTACTCTACAGCTCGTGGTTTGGTTGGTCGGATTCATGAGATTTGATGGAGACGTCCGTTGTTCCGTAAGGTATTCGTGTGGTTGTACGATTATGCCCGTCGCGATGCGCAACTTTCTACACCGCCCATCCTGTGTCTTCGGAGTAATTTATCGCTTCTCCATGCGAGATAAGGGGTCTTTGCTCCCGAAGTCTACTTTCCCGCTCCTCAATTTTCTCGGCGCATTTGGGGCGAGACAGGGGCATAAAGTGGGTGGTGCCAGAACTTGCTACCTTAGTGTTGCATGAGGGTTTTTATTTCTCCTTCTCGTTGCTTTATCCCACTCTTACTCTTGAATATGGCCATGGAGACGTTGACCCGTGGACCATGGGCCAGTGGACAGCAAGTGCATGAATGGACGCCCGTTTGCTGGTTTGAATAAAGCTACCGGGACAGCTGCAGGAGAGCTGCAGCCGTGTCCAGCGGCCGTCCAGTCAGTTACGGATACTCTGCTGCAGCTGGGAAGACGGAGCGGGTTTGCGGCGCCGTGGATGGACCCTGAATTTCTTGTGACATGCCTGCCTTTGGCTGTATTGCGGTATGCCTCTTCTTTCTGAATCTGCCCTCGTCCTCGATGCAGCTTTTGATTGACACGAACATATCCGTAGCAATGCTTTTCTTGCAAGTACTCCGTATATTGGCGGGTCACTTGGGCCAAAGTCCCGGTCATCAGACTGGAAGAATTCCCATATGTCACTGGCTGGAAAGGTCATGGGAATCTCGCTCAAATTCCAGGAGTTGCCTGCCTCGGCGGCGGGGCGATATCGGCGTGCCCCGGAACTTGGAAGAACTGCCAAATGATAGCGTGCCCTCGGTCGGTCCAAGGTGAGTGGCTGCGGATCAACCGCGGTGAATTTCCCAGATCCGAGAGACCTTCTAGCGGGTGGGGCTTCAGGTTCTGCGTCTTCCTCTTCTTCTCCGGGGAGGGGGGGGGGGGTCGCAAGGTGACCCTCGGTACTTTCGGTCAAATTCCTCGCCCAATTCCCAAATGGGCCTCTCCTACCGCCGTTACGGGTTTTCCGCCCGTCGACAATCCATCCTCGACGAGTCGACAGCTTGTCACTTTTGACGTGGTTGCAGGAAGAAAGCTGACCCGCCCGCAGGAACGATGTCCGTCACGGCGGGCACTCACACCGGACACTGCCCGGCAAGCATTGAGCCATTCCTTGGAAAGTTGACAGGAGCCATGACGGCCAGGCACAGAGCACTACGTATTGACATGCCAGATAGAAAGATCGCGCGACTCGTGCAGAACATGCAAGTGTATGCGCCTACGCCAGCGCCGACGCTATTACAGAGGGGAAGCATGGCCCATCGATCGATTCCATCCCCTCCACACCTCTTTTGATGGCTCTGGACCTTGATGGGCACCTGGTTCAATTTTTGCTTCGACGCTTGCCGAGCAACTCCTCGGCGAATTGACTCGAACACTGGCGAGCTAATCGGAAGTTGAGGCCGTCTACCACGGCGACTACCTTACACTGGACATGCGTTGCTACCAGAAGTCGAGGTTGACCTGCCACTGCCCGCCTACCTTACCTAGGTAGCTTCGACTAAAGCTGCATGGTCCTAGGCGATGGGCTAGGAGGAACCTTCCCAATCCAAACTGTCGTCAACTTGTTCGTCCGAGACTATGATGCTGCGCATTTGGCTATTCGTACGCATGCTGTGGAGGGCCAGGTTCCGAATGCTGCGTTCCAAGAATCGACGTGAGGGAGGATCCTGATCAAAAATTTTTGTCAATCAGAAAAGAAACGCACAAGGCATTCAGGCAAGAAAGAAATTTTGCCATTCTCCGGCATATGGATATTGCATGATTCTCGCCCTTGGATCAGAAGAGAGTGGTCCAACATGAGCATCATCCTGCCGCGGCCTGTATTACCTCCCGGGATATTCTCATGCCGAAGGTATTCCGAAGCCTCGCGTTTGGCTGGAGCGACTCAGCGAGGACGTTTTGACGGGGCAGCCGTGGGGAAAGCATTTTTTTCCCTCTCTTCCAAAGTGGGACACGTTTGTCAAACGTGGGAGATGTCCGTCCCGAGATTTTCCGTTGCTTGAGACCAAAGCCCACTGCCCAGAGGGTCCCCAGACGGGAAGCATGCCGCTAGGATGAAGCGAGGTCGGAAAACCAAGCGACGGAGGGGCGGACATGCGCGTTCGACGGTCGCTCGAGACGAAGAAAAAAAAAGTTAAGGCGAGGCGCCGAAGAAGCTACTGTAGAAACTCGAGCACTTTAAACTTGCGTTAGCCCGTGCTAACCCTGCTAGCTTCCTATACTAAACCTTTTCGGGTAGTTAATTATATTCGATTATATAATTGACTATACCGTATATAAAAGGTAGTAAGTAATTATTTTTTATTTTTTACTCCTACTTAACTACTTACTTCGACCTACCTCTACCTACCTTTAGTTACTACTTAGTAATTAACTTAGCTACTTATTACGGCTTATTACTACTTATACTTTTACTAATTATATTACTAATTTAATTACTAATTATATTATTAATTATATTTTTAATTATACTTCTACTACGGGCCTTATTAAATACTTATAATACCCTTATAACGGGCCCTTATTAAAAAGAATATAAATATAATAAAAAAGCTAATTATATTTTTAATAATTAAGCGCCGCGGGCCTGCTCTTACCCCTATTAAAAACCGAAAATATATATTACGAAGTTACCTAGTTAAATAGCGCCCTTATTACTATATTTACTAAACTAAAATTAACCTCTTTATATTTCTTAAGTATTATTATATTAAGAAAATTAATAAAAAAGTAATTTACTTACTATGGCTACGCTAGGGCAAAACTAAGTTACTAAGGATATATAGACGTCCTATATATTAAGAAGTTATAAATTAGTTTAAAGTTCTTTAAAATACGGTTATTACTTAGTATTAAAACTATAAGTTAATTATTAATCGGTTCTCTAATTATACCTATTATTTATAATAATTAGAGCTCGAAATAGCGCTCTATAATACCTTTTATTAGTAATAAAATAAAAAAAAACTTATTAATATTAGTTAGTTTAAAAAGAATGCTAAGTAGATTTTTATTAAGTAGAATTTAAATAGTAAATATCTTTTTATTTTTTTTTCTAATTAGTTTTATAGTTTTTAAAATCGTATATAAATTACTTAACGTTAACTTACTAAATAAGTAACTAAATTATTTACTAAGTATTTTAAAGTTATTAATAGCTTTTTTTTTTTTATCTAACGAATTAACTAAATAGCCTTAGTAATAGTAAAGCGGTCTAATTTTAGAAATATACTCGGGAATCTAGCTCGTCGATTTTTTAACTTATAAATTCTTAACTTTAATAAGACCCTAGTTCTTTTTAAATACTTAAATAGTTATATATATAACGATATTAGGGCTAAAACCGTAGTTAATAAGAATAACCGTAGTAATTAGGGTAAGCACTAGGCTATATTAATACTCTATATTTTTATTAACGGTATATAACGAATTAAACTAAAAATAATATTTTATAATAAGCCCGTAAAGGAAAGGGGTTAATTATAAAAAAAAGAGGGCCTATTATATATAAAAAGAGTAATAGTTAAGTTTAATAAAACGGCTTATAATAATAAGTACTTATTTAAATAATAGATTAAAAAAGAATTAGTAACATTAATTAAAAAAGACGAGTACTTATTAGTTATAAATATTATTTCTTTTTATAAAATAGATTCTATTTTAATACTATTATATTAATACTATATTATACCCTACTTTATATTATTAAAAACTATTTCCCTCTTTTAACCTCTCGATATTATAATTAATAAGCTCTTTAAGTAATAGTTTTTAAAAATAACTAACGCTTATATACTTAACGAGGAAAAAAAAGCGCTAAATAAGTAAGAAGAGCTTAAGTAGGAAATAAGTATAAAAAGAATAATAGTTACTAAAATAGTCGAAACGGTAGCTATTAAATTAGCTTATGAGAAGGGCTTAATAATTAGCTAGGCCTTTTTATAGTATAGAATATTTATTTAGCTTAATAATAGTTAGGTTAACGAGATCTAAATTAAAAATATACCTACTAAGGCTATTAATTATACTAAATAAGAGCTTTTTAATATAAAAACCTATATTAAGTAAGAGACGTTATAAAAAGAGATTCTAAACTTTACTATTCTAAACGACGGGTTAAAATATATTTCTATAATAAAAAAAGTCCGTAATGGTATTAATAGGTAGTATATTAACTTAATAATCTAACTGCTATATAAATAGGGGCCCGTTAGTAATAATAGGCTAGGGAATAGTTAGGGGCTTTTAGTTACTTATATATAATAACTTCTAATTAATACTTTTACCCTTTTTATTAATTTAATAAAAAAAGCTTAAAACTAATAAAAAAGCTAAAATAATTATTAAATTAGATTAATTATAGGTCTAGCTTTAATAATAAGCTCTTATTAGCTAGATCGATTAGAATGTTAGTGTATATTAAAAATAAGTAACGGCTATATTTAACTACTTTAGGTAGTATTACGGTTTTGCTAGAGCGCTAGTAGGGTTGGCACGGGCTAATGCAAGTTTAAAGTGCTCGAGTTTCTACGGTAGTTGTCTTGTGGGGTGGAAAGCCTGGAGAGTGCCACAGAGAAAACGGATGCGCCGTCAACATCGTTCGGTTCTTCTTCACATGTCTCCACCGAAGCCGGCATCTCCTAGGATGCTCTCGGTGATAGGTGTCGGCAGCATGGAGTCTGATGGACCAAGTTCAAGACCAACAACAACCGTCGCCACTTCTCCAGCCCCAAGTTTCTTACCTTACGTGAGTATCCACGACCACGCAACGTAAGGAGCAGCGGGAAGCCCAGGCAGAAAAGTCTTTTGCGGATACGTCAACCGTCAACGGTCCTTTGCGCACAGCCATCCCGCGGAAAGTGAGGCAAGAGGTGCCTGCTCAACCAAAGAGGCAAGAGCTGACGAAGACGAAGGCTTCAGCCTTCATGAATTGGGGGGATCAATGTGGAAGGCAGAGGAGCAGAGACTGGGGGAAATCACAAGCAAAATGGAAAGAGGCGTCTTGAATCAGGAGCCACCAGGTCTTCCATCGTTTGAGTTTTGGCAATCGCTCGCAGCTTCCCCGGCTTTTCTCTTTGTGTTGATGGAGATGTTGGAACAAGTTCAAGGCTTGTGATTTTCCCCCTCCCCTCATGGAGTTCTCCCCCGCAATCCCGTCCAAGATAGAGTTCAGCCCGCATCAACCCAGCACCGCGAAACCACCTCACCTTACCTTAAGGCTTGTGCTTGGTATTCGAACCACAGCAGCAACAGGCACGGTCGTTGCTCTGCTATATGACTGCCCTATCTACTCTAGCCCATCTCTGAGGACCATCCTCCGTGGCGGGATACTACATCATCCTAGTCGAGCCCGTGATCGAGTATCTCGCACTGCATCGCATTACATCGCATCGTCCGCTTCCGCCTGCGTCTCTCAGTCATTAATCCGTTCATTCGCCAGAAAGGAAAGACATTCCGCAACTGGGCAGGCCAATATCCGTACTGTGCCTATGATGGACGGGCCTTGATGGGCGTGGGCACACAATCACATACCTAGGCTGGTACGGATAGCGCAATCTTGGTCCTCCCCCAAGTGGAGCAGAGCATGTCATCGTCGGGCTGTTGTCTCCCTCGTCCTAGGCCGAAATCGAACGAGGCAGGGCTTCCGTACATTGGCTCTTGAGCTTCTTTCCCAGGATCACACAGCCAGGGGCGGTTTGATGCGATCCAGTACCATGCGGAGAAACGGCCCAGCGTCTCTCGCTGACGGCGCATCAAGGGAAAAGCAGACACGCAGGTACCGATACATGGGGAGCCGAGGCCACCCCCATGCTTCCAGCCCAGGCCCATTATGACAACCTGCCCCCCAGGAACCAGCACCAAGGCACGCCGCACCATGACATGCTGCCTTTTTTGTGAAGAGTTGGCTCGACGGATACCTACCCCACACTGCGAAACGCTCGACGGCGAGAAGGCCGACCTCTCTCCTCCGTTTCCGCCGCTCAGGATTCGCCCATTCCAGCCTGTCAAGCACTGTGAGCGTGTGCTTCCGAACCTGCCACAGCGGTCGCTCGAGCCGCTGATCCGCAAAGACCCTGAAGGCCTTTTGGCCTTTGCTGAGTCGCGAGACGAGGTGCAAATCCCCTTCCCCCCCGCCTCAGATGGGGGACGATGTACCGGTACTTGGCACATGGAGGCCCTCAGTTACTGCTTTTGGCGACGTTTACCGCGAGGCTTTACGCCTGACGCTTGTGCCTCTGCAAGTACCTCCCCGCAATGACAAACATCAGGTCAAGCAGGCTGCTGGCTGTTGATCTGGGCTGGGCCATGCTGGGTCGTAGAAGGTGGCTATTGGGGTTGATGGACAAGTATGCGTCGTCGTCTCCTTGACGAGGCAAAGAGAGGAAGCCGAGGCGATACGATAGCCGAAGAGAGTGAGGAAGAGAAAGAAGGAAACCATGCAGACGGCGGTTCGGCGTCATACCAAGCTCTCGCGCATTCATTCAACCTATCCACCTCCATCTTCGGACCTATTATCGCGGCTCCAGGAGTTGGTCGGGTCCAGGGCATAGAGCGTCATGGATTAGACGGCGGGAAATAACGTGAAGACGTATGGAGTATCGTCTGCTCAGCGGGGAGAGGGAAGGGGAAAAAAAGAACTGGAGATAAGATGGATTCTTCAACCGCGGCTACTCTCCGTAACCGTGTACACTTACTTTGGCAAAGTAAATAACCCAACTCGGACAGCCATCTCGGTCTTGCGTCGGTAGATGGGAAAAAGCAGAAGACACACACTCGCGCGCGCGCACACACACACACCTGATATTATTCTCTTTATCCTCTCGCCTCGCCCACCCCAAGCTTTCCTGGCCCGATTACCACATTTATCCTATCCCTCCCACACTCCTCCCACACTTTTAACTGTTTAACCACACCCACCCACTCTCCTCGTCTGGATCAAAAGCAAGTCAACTGGACAACCCGCGAACCAACCCCAATCAAAGACAAGCCCATCACATCATCACTCGCACACCCACACAAACCCGCACGAGCTGTCTGTCCTCTACTTCGTACTTCGTACACAATATACTACTCGCTCCAGCCTTCTTTCGGCTCAGAATCCTACATACACTCAAGCAAGGAAACGCTGCTGCTGCTACCACCCACACTATCCCGCATACCTACGCAAGCCCGCGTCGACTACCGACTCACACTCGCCTTATTCTGTCCTCCAGGCCTGGCTCAGCTGCTACACACTCGAACGATATCCCACACATAAGAGTCGCAACATCCCTCCGCGCCTGACTGTGGTATCGCCGATCCCCCTTCTGCCTGTCTCACTTCTGCGAATCACTCTCTCCCTCTCCCTCTTTCTATTTTGCCAAAAAAAGAGAAACCAAAACTTGGCCTGCCTCCCGCTTTGTTATCTGCCTCTCACGCGCTCACTCGCTCGCTCGCTCAATCTATCCACCGACTCGTTTGGCCTTGTTACCCGCTGCCGGAGCAAGGGTTGGTAATCCGCAATCGCGCCGAATTCCAATATTGCCCATCCAATATTGTTGCAAGCAAAGACAAGCGGTCCCGCAATTATAGCCTGTCACCGACAACCCAGGGTCGTCCCACGATCACTTTAAACCAGCCGCCGTCCTCACCCACACACCCCACGCCTCACGGCATTCCCGCTGCTCGTTACTTGGTCTTAAGTAAAATCTCAGACACCACACGTACTTTTTCGTGTCTACTCCGCACTCACCGTCGACTATCCTTCCTTTTTCACAAAAGGGGTTCTTCCGCACCTTCACTCTTGTCGGACATTTCCCATTCCACCCTTCTTAGCTTCTTGATCCCGCCTTTCCCTCCTCCCCACCCCCCGCCTGACATCACCTACTTTTCAGGTACCTGTGCTACTTGGGGTCTCACATAAAGAGTCAAGATCTGCGCTCCGAAATCGAAGATCTGGGGAATAAGTATAATACCACCAACCATCCATCGCCCCCTTCTCGGACCTTGGTTCCTGGCCCTACGCAGCAATCATCCCACACCCGAATACTCCAACCTTCTCTCGTCATTGAGAGAATCGTATCACAACCACAACAACGTCTCGAAAATCGTCACCATCACCCACCACATACCGCCCACCATGAACGCACCAATCCAGTCTCCCAAGCGCCAGGACTCCACGTCCTCCATCTCCTCCTCATCGTCGCACATGTCCACAAACCAAATGATGGCGCCACCCCAACCCAACGGCCAGCAGCCCCCTTCAACCGAGGCCTTCCTCCGCGACTTCACACTCGTCGCCGAGGCCGCAAAACGTGCCCAGATGGCCGTCATGATGCGCGACTTTGAGTCTTGCGGGCTCTCATAGATGGATGCCGCATTCTGTTCGGTTCACGCAAAGAAAGAGCCCGAAAGCGACCGAGCTTTTCCCATCGTCCCGGGAAGCTTTTTCTCCAACTGGCTCAGACCGTCATTTTGAGGAACCAATACTCCGAATTTCATCGGATGAGAGGACCCCGCTGAAACGCTGTTACGGGGCCGAGAGGGAAACCGAGGCACCGCGCCAACGCTTCGGCGGAGTCGGGGCAGAGGGGGACCAGGGCGAGAGAGAGTTTGTCGTGTCATTGAACCGACGACACTGGACTCCCCTTAGCTCTTCTTCCCCTCACCAGATTCAGTCACTGGCGTGGCCTTCCTCGGTCCATCTCTTCCCTTTCCTCTCACTCACTCTCTCACTCGCTTTCACTCTTCACCCGCTCGCTACACAACATTTAATCGACATTGAAGTCTCTGGGGAACTCGACACGGTTTCGCATTTCTTCTCGGTGATTAGAGGCGGGGATAGACAAAGACTCATCTCATCGGGTTCATCTCACTGGGGTTTTTCCTTCATGATAAACACGCAACCACACTACTACACATTCACACAACAACTGGCGTATACGGAACAAATGGGGGGCATCATTGCATTGCGGGAAATTTCGTTTTGATATCACGAATATTTTGGAAAGGACACGACTTTTGGCGTTTTGGGAGGGAAGAAACTTGGGCGTCTATCACGACCCAGTTGAATTGGATTCCGCTCACCATTTTATTATTTACTGTTTTTCCTGTATGAATACCACTGAGGAGGACAAATGGTCTTACCAAGATCTTGCTTTACAAATTCTTAGCTACAAAGACATATGGCCAGTCTATCTGGTCTTTTTTCAATACTCCTTTGGGTTACAGATTGCAGTATCTCTAATGTGACATGGCCCCAATGTTTGACTGCCGTTCGCTCTCATATCTTTCTTTATATGTTCTCGCCGTAATCCTGAGCTTGTAAGAATGAACAAAACTCTTTGATGAGATTTCCATCTACACATTTCTACAGTTCCAAACATGAAACCCCCCCCCCCCCTAGGCCCATCTCACAACTTGGAAGCCAACACAATCCCACCATCAACAGTAATCGTCGCCCCGGTCACGAACGCGCCCGCCCGCCCGCTCAAGAACAGACACGCGCCCGCGACATCCTGCGGCGTCCCGATCCTCCGCATCGGGATCTCCTCCTCGATGGTATCGCGCATCGTCTCGAGCGTGGCCGCCATCATCTTGCTCTCGAACGGCCCGCAGGCCAGGGTGTTGCTCGTGATGCCCCTGGGCCCCAGTTCCCTGGCGAGCGCGCGCGAGAGGTGGTGGAGGCCGGCTTTGCTCGCGCTGTAGGCGTACGAGGAGATCAGGGGCACGCGGAGGCCGTCTACGCTGCCGATGTTTATGATGCGCGACGGGTCGCCCGCGCCGCCGGAAGCGGCCTCGAGGAGGGGCGCGGCGAGCTGCGTGAGCGTGAAGACGCGCTGGAGGTTCAGGGTGAGGAGTTTGGTCCAGGCGGCGTCCGGGTACGTTTCGAAGGCGTCGCCCCACGCCGCGCCCGAGTTGTTCACGAGGACGTGGAGTCGCCCGCCCGTCTGCTTGGCGAGCTCGTCGACGAGGCGCTTGCAGTCGTCTAGCTTCTGGAGGTCGGCGGGGATGGCGTGGCACCTGCCCGGACCTTTGGCGGTGAGGGCGGCGGCGGAGGCGGAGCAGGCTTTTGCGTCGCGGGAGGAGATGTAGACTGTTGCGCCGTTTGTGACGTAGCCTTCTGAGATCATGTAGCCTATTCCTTTCGCGCCGCCTGTTACGAGGATGTTTTTGTCCTGGAGAGAAGGGGGGGAGGGGGTTAGCTTGGTGTTTGAGAATTTGACTTTGGGAATTGTCGAGGATGTGGATAAGGACGAGGACGAGGGAGAGAGAGCTTGATCTTTACCTTGACGTTGAAGAGCGATGCGACATCCATTGCTGCTGGTTTCCTACTATTTCGTTGGGGAAGATGGGAGTTGTTGCAGTAGCTTGACTTCTGGTACAGGTTCAATTGCCAAGTTGGAAGATAGATCCGATTGAATTTGAAAGAGGACCGAGAGATGTAGATGTAGAACGATGAAAGACAAGGGCGCGGGAGCTATCTTTGGCTGATATGAGAAGGAGAGCAGCTTTCGGTGTGTGGTCGTCTGAGCTTCCCAGTTGCGAAAAATGAGCCGAGGCTCACGGTCGTTTGGAGGGGTCTAGGCCGAGGGCGCGTTCCCCCGATCCCCCGACCGATAAGGGGTACATTGCTTCTTACCCCGGACTGCGCTGCGGGGAAAGTACACTGCATCTTTTACCACGCGACACCGACTCCAAGGTACAAAGATGCGACATTGGGAGCTTGAAGTTTTCCTGCATTACCTACATATTGTATACGTGAAGCCGCAGTCTTGATCTGAATTACTCAACGTATCCTGTTCCATGGTTCACGAACCTCGCATGTTTGTGCATTTCAGTAATATCGATTACTTGTTTGTTCAAATACCTCAAAGAAAGGCAAAACTATGCTAATCTGACAGGCATGCCTGTTCGTCTCTACTTGACTGTCCGTTTGCCCAAAAGTCTATTGTCATGGTCATCCGATTAAACCGCAACCACCAACGCCATTGCTCAATTTCAAATCCGTTGTTCCGTGCCGGCGACGGAGTGCTGATGCTGCCGGGCTCGAGGTCTCTTACACAGTGGTCGGTATCGATACTCCATCTGCACGAGAGCCATGAGGAGCGCATGTACTATCCAAGTATAACCACTTGTACGAGGTTGCGCGATGGATGAGACCGCCAACGTCACCGACGTTTCTCCATGCTCGTCGACATGATATCTCACACGTAACATCTACGACGTCGACGACCTCGGGCTGCGCTTTCTCATAAAAGCCGGCAGCCTCGACGGCTTCTCGCCGCTCTCAGTCGTGTTGGTCGTCTTCTCCGGCGTAGTGCTCGCCCCGCCGGCAGCAGCGGCGGCGGCGGCAGCCTCCCTCTCTTTCCTAGGCGAGCAGCAGCAGCCCATGGCCATGTGGAGGATGGCGGCGAGGTCGACGAGGGCGCTGGCGAGCCACATGAAGACGAACATGCGCACGCCGAGGACGGCGTTGATGTTGAGCTCGGACTGCTGGGTGAGGGCGATCTTGGCGCCGACGCTCATGACGGTGCCGATGATGGAGGCGACGGTGACGAGGAGGCCCGCGATGGCGGCGAAGATGGCGATGGGCAGGCTCCACCAGCGCGAGCGCATGACGAGCGGGGTGACGATGAGGAGGGCGGCGGCGAGGGAGATGCCGGAGATGAAGAGGCCGAACATGACCTGCTGGCCGATGCGGAGGATGTTGAGGATGGTGCTGACCTCGGAGGGGAGGGCGATGGTGGCGCCGGCGAGGAGCTCGTTGGTGAGGATCTCGATGGGGTTGAACCACCACATGCGCTGGGGGGTTGAGCAGAAGGTGACGCCCCTGGTGATGGCGTGTCAGTACGTTCGTTCCTACGATTGAGACACCTGGGGGCACTTACTCATCGTTGTAGCCTTCGCAAAAGTTCCAGAGACCGACTTGGTAAAAGTCGTGGAGTCCCAGGCTGCGGGCTACGGAGTTGAGGAGGACGGCGTTGGCCGAGGAGAGCGGGATGATGTCGGAGACATCGAGTTTGAAGAAGTAAATGTCCGTCAGAACGGGCTTGATGGAGGTGTTGCCGATGATGACGAGGATGAGGAAGATGATGGCGATGAAGTAGCAGACGGCCGCGGTGATGGCGCTGTTCCGGCGGACTTTGGCCATCGTGAGGGTCGTTATTCGGAGCTTGAGTTTTGGAGAGGAGGATGACTGCGGTCGTCGTAGGAGGGCGGGCTTGGAACCGGAATCTGGGACCCGGTGATGATGGAGTACAGTATACGGAGAGTCTCTCCTCTCTCCCCAGATATCTCACGTAAATGCGTATGTGAGGGCAAGATGACGCGGTAAGGTCACCGGAGCTCTCTCTCTAACTTTGCCGATGGTCCGGAGAGGGAACGAAAAAAGGGAACTGAATAATACCAGGGGGGCTCGTCCTATTCAGCGATCCAGGCGCGACCGTACTCGAGAAAGCCGTCCGTAATCCAAGAGAATTAGGCGTAGGCGTAGGCGTCTCGGGCCAAGGGGCTATGATGCGAAAAAAGGGAATCGGCCCTACGTGTGCAAAAAGGTTGGCGGAGCGGAGAGGAGTCGGGAAGCCAAAGAAGGACCAGAGACGGATAATGACGATGAGCGTCAGGAAGCTAGCTCGACTGATGGAATCCACTCGGCAATTTTGTGTCTGGAAGATGGAAAAGGAACAAAACAAAATGATTCCAGACCAGGCCAGGCCGTCACAATAGATTCGATGGAGTACTCCGTAAACACCCCTGGACTCTGGAGCCCTGGTGGTTGGTAAATACGGACAAGGCGTCAAAGACTCAAGGCAGAAGCAGGGCCAAGACACCGGAGCCAAACCTGGATGGATAGATGGACAGATAGAGAGACGAGAGAGGATAAACAGAGCGGGACGGGTCTGATTGAGTTGGCATAAACCCAGGCGTATCGCTGTTCTCCGGGGGGTTGCTTTCTGTGTAGAGGCTGAGGATGGTCCAGGTGTTTGCATGGGTCACTGACAGCCGGTCAGGGAGAATGACGTCGTAGCAACCAATATCTTTTTTTTTTTTCTCTCTCTCTACACTATTTTCCCCTCTCTTTCTGCTGCTACTGCTGCTGCTGCGTTTTCTGCATTGGATCATCCCAGCGTTTTTCTTGCTAGCGGCGCGCCACGGCTAGCGGGTCCGTAGGTATCTAAGTGGGACTCCGCTGCCTCATTCCAGGTTGTGCGGTGGGTCCATCCACCTCATGTTTCCAAGCTGCCGTCCATCTCCATTTCGTCTCACTCACTCACTCACAGTCGCTCATATTCACAAGTTCACGGTCTTATCACAGAGAAGAACTCAACTCAATGGATAGGACACACAGACTCTCCAGTGACGGCACAGACGAATGGAGTGCAGCAGTCGATAACTGCATACTGCAGCATCATGGCTCACCTCGGGGCTACTCCTCGGGGCGTCAAAAAGGGGGAGAGAGACATCAAGTCCCGTGGCACCGCCGCGAGATCAGGTATCCGTACGTCGGTACCATTCTCCATCCAGAACAAGACCCCAAATGCCTTTCCACTTTCGGGTTCCGAGGGGCCGTCTAAACGAGCTTCGCGCGGCCCCCATACGGATACCCGCAACCACCACCGTGACCACCCCCATCCCATCTGCCCATACTTGGTACAGCACCGCCTCCAACGCCTCTGTCGACGAGTTCCAGCCAACCGGGCCGTTGTGTCACTCTCTCCGCAGGCGGGCGATCTGTATCGTTCTGTGGGATCTGTAGCCACTCCTCAGCTGAAGTGGGATCATCACGGTTGACAGCGGTTACTAAGCGCAAAAGGAAGTTCGGCAAGCCACTCGAAATGCAAATGGAACAGCAACAACTCAACAACGACAGCAGCCCAACCCACGACCCATCAACAAGCCAGGTGCGTACCTAGAGCCAGACGGCGGCTGTGTGAAATGAGATTTTAATGGGTGGATTGATGGTTGGTTAGGGCCGCTTTCTCCTTGTTGCACCATCGATCCGACTCCCGGCCCCCGTACGGATGTCCCCCGTCCCGCCTTGTGTCTCCTGCAGGTTGCATATCTCTTCTTCCTATTCGCGCAGATAGATATACGTGTACGGAGTATTGTGCTCATGATGCTCATCGCTGAGGCATATCCAAGGAGAATGACCCACGGGGGAGGGGTGTCGAGGCGTTTCTCTTCCAGGGACCAAGTCAGAAATAGTTTGAAAATTCCCCGTCGTAGCATCCAAGGGTCACGATCCCAGCAGGGACCCAGATAGATGTCTTGACCTAAACAAACGAAATGAGGATGGGCGGCAAGTGTTGAGCCTAAAACTCTGTTTTGTTTTTTCTATTACCCTTTTTTTCGATCTTCCTGATCTACCTCTCAGCCTCAATGACGATGGTCACCGATGACCATTGTCCATTTTTTCCCCAGCTTGCCGGATCTTTGTTTTGCAAACATGACGAACAGTTTGGATTTCTCGGATTCCGAGGAGACAAAGGCGCGTCCAGCAGGGCCATCCTGCACGCGCGTCCGTCCCCGCCACGCCGGCACAGGAGCCGGTGATCGCCAGGGATATCCGTATAGGGCCCCCGGTCCATGGTTTTCTGCGCTGTCCTTTGCCGCAAGCCACAGCCGCAGATATGCAGTGGTACCGTAAGGTAGTCGGTCTGGTATGGATGGGTAGATGGAACGGCGCGTCCATGACTTGACCTGCTGGCCATCTGTTGTATCGGGATTGTTGGTGGGTTGCTTCCAGTCAATGTCTCTCAGTCTCTTGACAGCCTCTCTCAACATGCCAAATACGGTTGGTCACCTGCTGCCTGCTTGCAGTATACGCACAAAACATAATGTGACAGACAGGTTCCAATGACATGACTGCGTGACCCTGTCGAGCTGGAGCTGCCGATGAGATGACCAGCAGGGACCCGGCACATCCCCAGCGATCCTCGCAGCAGCTTCCGGTGGTGGTGGGTCCGTCTTGATGGGGCTCTGTGCTCCTGGTGTCCACTACCAACCTGGCTAGGTAAGGTAGCTACATGGGGCCCGGTAACCCCCTGCCAGTTTGGCGGTAGCGCCGTACGGGGCCTGGGCCACCACCCCTCCAAGCCTCCAAGGCGTGCCGCAGGCCGCAGGCTGCAGAAAGAACGTCTGGGCCACCCCGGGAAAAACGAGGAAGCAAATACACAAATATTATGTCATAGCTGGACGTATGCGAAGTCTCGACAATTGGCACCAAGGTCCAGGAAAAATAGTCGTTCCTCTAGACTCCAGAGTCTAGATTTCTCGTTGCTGGCTGGCGCAACATTGGCAAACGGCCGCACCTTTCCTCTCTCATATGTGAAATTCTCCAACATTTCTTTCCGCCTCTGCCGTTGCGTGACGAAGAGAAAAACGCCTCGAAAAAGAGTATACTAGGCACCCTAGCGTGCTTCTGCTTTTCGGCGGTATTTTTTGCTTGGGGATCGTCATCGAAACTCTCCTCGTCCGATAACCGTTTTTGGCTTCTGTCTCCCGTCTCCCGTCCCTCGCCCAACTCAAATTTCTTTCCCCCGAGGGGCGCACCGTGGTCACTGCGTCTTGCAGCCATCCCAGACTCTCTCAAAGTCTACTCCCAGACCTCGAATAACATACAACCATATCGAGCCCGGGAAACCACCCCTACCTTACCTTACCTGACCATTCCCTCGAGAAGCAACAACAACTCCACGACTTCCCTTCCCTTTCCTCGCGGCCACTCCACCAACAAAGTCCTCGCCAGAGAGGCTGCCTCGCCCAGCATGACAGGACCACTCTTTGCCCTCTCCCTCGGGCTCCTATCCCTCTTCACAGCCCAAGCCGCAGCGCAGGACCAAGTCAGCACGAGCACATTCACCCTCTCCAACACCGACGACGTGACTTTCCTCTCGGGAACCAAGACCGTCGCAGTCACCCAGCCCAGGACCCCAACGGGTCCCTACGCAACCTACACCTCGAGAATCACCCTCACAAATGGAGACCTGTCCACCATGACCGGGACCATGACGGTCACCGGCAACGTCACGCAAACCACCACAAATTCCGTGGGCCAGTCCGTCGTCATCATCTCGGGCCAGACCTCCGTCGTCACCTCAACCATCACCGGCACCGATGCCAATGCCACCCAGACCGAGACCGCACCCGCCGGCCCGACAAACACACAGCCCTGCAACAACTACGTCGAGTTCTGCGACCGCAAGTACAGCAACGTCACCGAGGTCGGGTGTCACAACTCCCCCTTTGTGCGCCCCGGGAACTCGGCCTCCAACCAGGCTCTCGATGTCACCACTCAGCTCAACGACGGCATCCGCTTCCTCCAGGCTCAGATCCAGTGGCCCACAAATGGCACGGTACCGCACTTTTGCCATTCTTCCTGTGATATCCTCGATGGTGAGTTCTGTTCAAGACCAAGCTTCATCCTCAAAGAGCCATTAGCTAACCTTACACTACAGTCGGCCCCATCACCGAATGGCTCACCACCGTCCGCGAATGGGTCGCCTCTCACCCGTACGACGTCGTCACCATCCTCCTCGGCAACGGCAACTACTCCACCCCGGACCTCTACGCCCCCTTCATCGAGTCAACCGGAATCCTCCAATACGCCTACCAGCCTCCCTACCTCCCCATGAGACTCGAAGACTGGCCCACCCTATCCCAGATGATCTTGGGGGGCAAGCGCGTCGTCATGTTCATGGACTACATGGCCGACCAGCAGAAATTCCCCTGGCTCCTCGACGAGTTCTCCCAAATGTGGGAGAGCCCCTTTGACCCCATGGACCGCACCTTCCCCTGCACCGTCCAGCGCCCGCCCGACCTCTCGCAGGAAGCCGCCCGCGACCGCCTCTACCTCATGAACCACAACCTAAACGCAGAGTACAACATCTTCGGCGCCTCCATCCTCGTCCCCGCCGTGTCGTTGTTGAATTCGACAAACAACGCCACCGGCAACGGGTCCCTCGGCGGCGCGGCCCAGAACTGCACCCGCGACTGGGGGTTCCCGCCAAAGGTGCTCAATGTGGACTACTACAACTACGGCGACCCCGAGGGCTCCGTCTTCCAGGTCCAGGCTAAGATGAACAATGTCACGTACACGCGCGAGTGCTGCGGCAAGGTTACCGGCGCGTCGCCCGGCCGGCCGACTGCTTCGGCTTTGGTGCTGGGTTTGGCTTTCGCCTGCGCCCTGCTGCTGGTCTAAATGGCTGACGTAAATTTTTAATGTCTTTTGATAAATTTCCAATTTCACGCAATGGAAAGCATGTCTGGCGTTTTGGTGGGGCTTGTTTAATGCATAGACGGGTTACATGGAGGCCAGAGGGTATTTCACCCTGGTAAATCGTATGGTCATTTTTGGAGGCATGATTACTTTACAATAGGATGCTGTCATGCGAGGCTTGCCACTGCATATAAAATACAACTACTATATTGACTATGCTGATATTCCAGATTCTCCGTATGCTATTCAAGTTGACATTAGCTGCTGCCAGGGGATGGTGGCCATGACTGACCGACTCCTCTTTGGGAGAATACGATTGTGAACCTGACCAACTCATAACTACACAACTACATGGCGACCCACACAAGAAGTCTTACCAACATTCGACTCCGAGATGATCATGACGAGATACAGACAACTGCCTCCCGACGGCATCAATGAACTTGGAAGATTGGCTATTTGAAACCCAAATTCTCCCTTTTTTTCCCCCCCATCACAGCAAAAGAAAATATCTTTGGGCATTCATTGAGCCCGGATATCACGTTATAGCCCAAAAAAACTATTTCCCAGGCGTGCAACAAGGTTTGAGGAAGAATCCAAGACCACCGTTGCCGGTCTGCTCTCCGTGCCCTCTCCCCGCTCGTCACGTAGACGTGACTTTCAACCGGGAAGAAAACCCGAATGCCAGTTTTGATCAAAGCGACTTGTTATTGGATCTCCAGATCGCCCACTGGCTGGGAGACAAAAGCTGACAGTTACGTTACCAGCGCAAAAAGTATACGTGGGATCTATTGTCTTTTTTTTCCCTATAAACACTCTCTACTATGAATAAATGCTGGAAGAAGGAATTGAAGGGTAAGCTGTATCAGGAGAAGAGAACACAGAGCAGACGGTTGAAAATAACTATATTTCTTAGACCGCAAGATGGTAGATCTAAATATCTAAATCGCCGATAGATTATAGAAAAGGGGAGAGGGGGGGGAAGAGACAAATAAGGTCCTCTCATCTTTAAAACGGTGCAGTGCCATCGCCAAAGACGGAAGCTGAGGCTTACCTCCCCCGAACACACGATGGCAAGGGGAGAATACGCAGACGAATATACGCCCTTTCCCTCGCCTCGCCCTGCCTCATATCCAAATCTCCCCCCCTCCCACCTCAACCAAGCCCAATCGATCCCCCAATGGTCGAGCGGTATAACGCCCTGGTCCGTTAGTACAGAACTTGGTATGAAATCTCGCGAAGCTCTACAATTCCGGATTTCGTAAGGTGCCCCCGGTTCGATTTCCGGACTGGGCACCTGAGCTTTTGCCCTTTTTCTTACCTTTTCTCTTGTTTGTACATGTGTACATATTTATCCATACCCTTTTCACACCTTGTTTTTTTTTTTTGACCAATTTCTCTAGGCGGGAAGGAAGGTAGGCCCGCCCGCCTATATGATAACCCTCGGCAACCACCTCAGTCTTTCGATAAGGTACGTACATGCCCCGGCTCCCCTTGTTTTGCGAGAACCCCCCCCCCCCCCCCGGGTCGACGTGAAATGCTTATACAAAATACACTATCGAGAGGGTGCTCTCATACATTCATAGTAGCCGGGCTAAGAAACATCTTCCTCACTTGGACAAAATGGTTCAAGGTCCCCCGTATCACACATATCTCGCACGTAAGTAATCATCATCATCCTACCGACAGCATCTAGGGAGCCGCCGAGGCTTCTGCAGGAACATCAACACGGAACAGTCATTGAGGATGTATTTATTTGTGCAGCGGCGTCGTTTCCACCCGAAAGGGGAACCGACCGACCGGCCTATGTAAGACTCAAACCCTTTCCTCTGCCGCATCAGCCAATGCAAGAATCCATCCCCCGCAAAATAAACCAGGACAAGTATAGTCTCTCCATTCCCACTCCAAGACGAAGCCTGACGCCAATGATATGATCGTAAGAAACAGAACCAAAAAAACCGCACACAAGAGTGGAAGGGGGAGGCGCGTCTTCTAATAATTCACACATGGACAGCGAAGGAGGGAGGTGGTGGAGTACCATCTGTAGATTTGCCCCTGAAACAAGTCTAAGCAGCAAAGTAGCGTTGAGGCTGGCTTGTGATCACCGCCACCCTCTAAAAAGGCTGGGACTTTGGGATATCTTCGATGACGTCCTGTAAGGAAACAAAGGCGCCTGGTCCGCCATTTTCCCGCAGATCATCAAGCAGCACGCTTGTCTGGGCGTAGACCTTTTCGAGCGCAGCGCGAGAAGATTTGCCCAATGATACTGTATGACGTTAATAACTAATCAGCATACAACCGGTGCCACGGAAAAACTCACATAATATGGCAGAGTTGAGCTCCTCTGCCACCGCAAGTCGACCTTTCCTATCCAGCAGGTGTGCAACGTCCTTCTCCTTGAGCGGGTTTGCGTAGGCAAGGAGCGCGTAGATGTCCGCCAGGTGCTTCGTCACCTCTCGCCTAGGGTCGTTCTTGAACTCGGCGTGAAGCTCCTGACCGTAGAGCAGAGTTGCTATCTCGAGCTCGTTGATGTCGACAGTCGGTTCGTTGGAATCCTCAGTGTCCATCTGATCCCAAGCGCCGTTCTCGTTGCCATTACCATCGAGATCCATCGCGCCCAGATCACCGCCATGGCCGTTGCTCTTCTTGGATTCTGACGCAGCCCTCATCTCAGCCGCCGTTCGGACCATCTCGATGAACTTGCGACAGCGCAACCGGAAGTAAACCTGCTCGTTATCCTTGAGAACTTGGGGGTAAAAGGCGTTGGTGTGCTTCAGCGCCCTATCGATGTCGCCTTCCAGCACAGCTCTCCTAATTCCTGTGTGTTGTCAGCATATAGACGACTTCCTCGCCAGAAACTTGACGTACTTTGCCGCTTGTTGGCATGCTCGTCGTCCTTAACATTGATTCCCTCAATGGGAGCATTCGGGTCGAGACTGAGTGCCTTCTTTTCCGCGTTAATTTCCTCCGCGAATGCCCTCGCAGTTTCCACATAACCGTCATGCTGCAAGAACTGAAGGACGAGCGCCTGTATCAGTTCAGTCTCGTTCATCGCTGGCGCTAAGCTTGCTGTACTTGTTTCCGAGATTTCCCTCCGGATACGTTCTTTTTCTTTCTGTGGTGCCAGAATCGTTAGTGATGTTTCCCTCAAGGCTAACGAGGATCCCGTGTATTGACATCGGAGTCAGACACTGATGCTGTATATCCACAGTAAAGCACGGCTGACAAGTGCCAATAGCGCGGGTTACTGAAACTCGAGACAGAGAATAATCGGAGGCAGAACAGCATAGCAGTAATAAGACAACCAGAATGTAGAAACATGCGGGAGTAGAGGTGAGGGAAAGGACAAAACTGACCGTCATCATGCCCTCAATGTCGAAAACAAAGGGCGTTTGACCAAAGTTGACACGAATGTGCTCTCCTGACTTCTTGAGACCAACTGTTGGATAGAGGCTACTGCCCTTTCCAATTTCGCGGAAGGCGGTACCTAGAAAAATGAGTTTGTCATCAATAGGAGTGAGGGACTGGGCTGCAATCCAGACATACCCAACATGTGGCCGTTCTTTGTGAAGAAGGCACAGCCAGTGCGGAAGTTGACACCACAGCCGATCACATCAGATGCAGTAAATGGAGGCCCATAGTTCTTGCCGCCATTCTGCCCAGCGTAACAGTGTCCATCGTCGCTGTGGTAGCCCCACGAGTCTGGCTCCCAGCCCGGGGGTCTTGAGAGGGCCACAGTCTTGGCCGAGAACCCGATGCCAATCGTCATGCTAACCAATCGTCAGAATACTCGTCACAGACCCCACACCAGAGGTCATAACCTACTCATCTCTTTTGCCTGACAAAACCTGGACTTCGAAATAATAGATACCGCACTGCGGAGGCATCGGGTTGTCCGCACGTATACTGAACGCCTCATGATCCCGCTCCGTCTGGCCCCGGGGCCCAATGTAGCGAACTTCGAGCCCATCTGAAAGAATATCGAGAGCACCGTACTTGTCGTCCCTGTTCCACCTCGTAGGTAGTGGGGTAAACGCCTCATCGTCCTCGAATGCTGCAGTCTTCTCGATGACGTCGTAATTCACTCCTCGGTGCGAAGCCGGCTTACTGTGAAGACTGACGCTGCTCGCGCTCGTCGTCAAGTTTCCACCGGGCTGTGCCTGGGCCGTCTGGGACTCCTTCTGCGCCTGTACCTTTGCAAAGTGCGCCTCCTCTAGCCGCTGTACGTATGTCGATCCAGTCAAATACGATGGCACGAAGAAACCGCCGTGTCCGCTTGCGCCGCCTGACCCTCCGTTCTCGCCCGAAGGATTCGCCATAAACATATCAAAGACCCTCGAAAAGGACGGCAGATTGTTGGCGCCCCGCGACAAGCGCGCAGACGTGCCATTCAGACTGGCGCCGTTCCTGTCTGCGTCCATATCGCCGCCCCTGCTCGAATCGTGGTAGGCCGAGGCCGGTTCGAAGGTGATGTCGTCGGAGTTGTTGAGGATCTGAGAGATGACCGAAGTTCGGCCGGGGTGGGAGAGGTAGGGCGGGTTATAGTTTGGTGGTGCTCCGGAAGCGACTGAAGCGTAGGAGAAGCGGCGCGGCAGAAGACCAGAGCTTCCCGTAGGTGTGTTTGATTCCGTGTAATGTGCAGAACCATGGAACGGGTTCGTCATGGTGAGGGGTCGAGGTTCGTAGAGGGGTCGACCAGCTCGCGCACCCGTGACGTCTCGTACGCAAAGAGGAGCTTCGCAATGCCCCCGAGAAGCCGCAGTCCGAGCTTCTTAGGATGAGGTGACCAGTGGCAGGCGTGTCTCTGTCTGAGTATCGAGTGATTGGGGTCTCGAATGGGTCTAGAAGGGTGGTCGGTCTGAGTGACGGGACTCGAGTCGGGGGTCCAAGGAGCAATCGAGTTCGGAATTGCGTGCTAAGACGGAGGTTCAGATCGGTCGAGAGGCACTACTATGATGTGGGTGTGGAGATGGTTTGCCGGGTAACGGTGAAGTGCCTTAGTCAAGGTTCATTCCGGTGTAGCAAAGGAAGTGAAAAACAGCCGCACGAGACGAGTCGTTCGGAGGAGGAGGGGCTAAAATGCTCCGCTGGACAGCTCGATTATCATGATAACGCAGTGATGAGAGATCGGAAGATGGGGGTTGAGTGAGGTCAGGTCGGGGTGCTATCGCTATGTGGAGTACGTGAGCGGCACACAGGTGACAGCGTGAGGTGAGGTACCGGCAAGGAGCGGGATTGCTGGCGAGGTACCTTACGTGAGTCGGGGAAGAACAGGGCCAGGCAAGGTTGTTGTTGTTGGTGGTGGACGGAACGTGTGGAGTGTGCAGGTGCGGTACGATGCGGTGCAGTGACGGAGGTGAGGTCCAGCGCGCGGACAAATGATAGGCGCCCCCGGGTTTAGACTGGAGAGTGGCCTGGTGTGCTGGAGGGTTTGGTATGGCTGAGGTGAGGTGCAGTGCAGTGCAGTGCAGGTCTGGGCTGAGCTGCTTAGTTGGGTTGGCTTGGCCATGTTCCGCCCGAGC